CATGCATATCCAGTGCCTGTGGTGAGCCACATTCTGGTCTCCCTCAAAGGAGGGCAAATTTTTGCAAAACTTGATTTGGCACAGGCCTACCAACAGTTAGTTACCTGTTGATGAGGCAACCGCTGAGGCTCAAACAATTGTAACACATCGGGGAACCTTTAAGGTCAAAAGACTGCAGTTTGGGGTTAATGTAGCCCCTGGTATATTCCAAAGTGTAATGGAGCGCACACTCCGTGGTATTCCTGGGGTCTGCCCCTACTTCGATGATGTCCTCATTGCTGGGGAGTCATCTCTAAACTTAGCTGAAAGATTGTCTTGCTTCGTTTCCGCCAAACAGGGCTGAAGCTGAAGCAAGATAAATGTAAAATTGGAGTCACTTCCACTGAATTCTTAGGCTTCAAAATTGATGCTCAAGGCATCCATCCTGCTGAATCCAAGCTCCAAGCAATTCAGCAGGCCCCAAGTCCCAAGTCCAAAAGTGAACTTCAGGCTTTTCTGGGACTCTTAAACTTTTATCATGCATTCCTTCCCCACAAGGCTGCAGTGGCTGAGCCATTACACCGGCTCTTGGATAAACAGGCTCCATGGCAGTGGACTAAGGTCCATGAAAGGAGTTTCAATGAGGTTAAGGCCTTGCTCTTTTCAAATGCAGTCTTGCGCATTTCAATGAGCAATTGCCAGTGTGCATCGCATGTGATGTATCCCCTTATGGGGTGGGAGCAGTACTTAGTCACCTGAAGGCTGATAGGACACAAGTCCCTGTGGCCTACTATTCAAGGACTGTCATCTGCAGAGTGTAATTACGCCCAGATTGACAAAGAAGCCTTGGCCATAGTGGCTGGCATAAAGAAATTTCATGGTTTCTTATATGGCCGCCACTTCACAGTCTATACAGACCATAAGCCTCTGCTGGGTTTGTTTACCACAAACAAGCAAACCCCTCACATAATATCTCCTAGAATGCTGAGATGATCAATTTTCCTGTCAGCATATTACTACACACTGATTCACAAACCTGGGAAAGAAATGGGCCATGCAGATGGCCTTAGCAGATTACCTCTACAAAATATAGAGGCGGATCCTGCCCCTGCTATTCACATCCTCTCCATTCAGGAGTTGCCTGAATCTCCCCTCAATACTAGGGACATGGCTGCAGAAACTGCCACTGATCACACGCTTACACGTGTGCTGACATGGGTGTTGTCAGGATGGCCCGACACATGTCCAGGTACTGAGTTTCAAAGCTTCTGGCAAAGGAAGCACGAGCTTTCCACTTTCAAAGGGTGGCTTTTATGGGATAGGAGGGTAGTCATCCCAGCCTCATTGAGGACTAGAGTCTTGATCTCTCTTCATGAGGGACATCCGGGTATAGTCTGGATGAAAGCGCTTGTGCGCAGCCATCTCTGGTGGCCTGAGCTCGATAAAGCCATCGAGGCCCAGGTTCACGGGTGCCAAGTGTGCCAACAGTCCAGGCCTGAAGTGCCTCAGGTGGGCGGAAACACAAGCCCCTTGGTCAAGGGTACATATAGATTACGCTGGGCCCTTTCAGGGGCAATTCTTCCTTCTCCTCGTTGACAGCCATTCCAAGTGGCTAGAGTTGTGCCTGTTTCCTCCACTACTACTGCTAGGACCATCCAGGTGTTGAGAGGAATCTTCGCCTCCCATGGACTTCCAGATGTCCTGGTCTCTGACAACACCCCCAATTCACTTCTTGTGAGTTTCAGGATTTCCTACAGGCCAACTTGATCCGGCATGCAACTTCAGCACCGTTTCATCCATCTTCCAATGGCCAAGCAGAGAGGATGGTGCACACTACCAAAGATGCTCTCAAGAGAATCACTTATGGCAGCTGGCATCACAGGTTAGCTGATTTCCTTCTTTCACAACGCACCACACCTTGCACAGCCACATGAAAGAGCCCAGCAGAACTCCGCTGGGGTCCCTGCCTCATCACGAAACTGGACAGGTTGCACCCAGACCGGGTGGCTTCACAGGTGTCACAGCCGCAGGCACCTAGGAGACTACAGGTAGGCAATCCGGTCTGGGCAAGGAACTGTGGACCTGGACATCTCTGGGTCACAGCAGTGGTATGGAGGTCTCTGGGCCACTGTCATACGAAGTGGCCTTGGATGATGGGCGCGTCATCCGACGTCACATAGACCAACTGCGCTGGAGGATTCCCAGCAACATCTCCGCTCCTGACTCTGCTCTTGGGGGGGAGGAGGACCATAATCACAATTCTGGACCACAGTCTCCCCGCTCTAGTGGTTCTTCACACCCTGCCGCATATGTTCCAGTGGCAGAAAGGGGGCATTCGCACACTTCAGCTATTGCTCCAGACAGGGAGTCTCCAGAAAGGGGGTTTGCCATGGAAGCGGCTCCTGACTCTGGCACCTCCGGCATATACACAGGGGCCATGGGTTATTAGGGCCCATCAGCCACTCAGGCCACTCCAGCTGCTGGTCTTGGGCTCGAGGGACAGTGGTCCCAAGAGGAGTCCATTGTGGACTTGGGGAATTACACCCCACCACTGGACTTGGGGAATTCCACCACCCCAAGGAACCCTGGCTTGGATTTAGAGGATCCAGCCAGTCAGCAGCTGGGTGGGTCACCTGGGTCTTTGGGGCATCAAAGTCCTGCCTAGCCTGGCAGGCGAGCTGGCAGGCCAGGCACACACCGGCCATAAGAAGGTCACAGCGGGCCAAGGGTCCACCTAAATATCTTAAAGACTATGTGAGGTTTCTGTCTAGCACAAGGGAATCTTACTAGTTCTTCAAATTGCAGAACAAGCACTCAAACAAAGGGGTGCTATACTTCAAGGTATTAAGCATTGTGATTATATTCTTGTACAAATTAAACAATGGATGAGTGGTCTGCCTGTGTGCAGGCATGATGTATAACAACAACAACCTACCAATTGAACACATGTATGTGTGCTGCTATAACGATAAGGGTACTTATTGTTTTATCTAGGGGGGAGGGGTGCTATGTCCTGGGCCTGTGAATCATTCAGCAGGCTCAGAAATGTTGCAAAGGGTCCCGGGCAAACCACAAGCTGCCCGGGACCAGACTGGCTGTCTCCAGGCTTGCGCACATGTGCAAGGTGCGAAAACAGCCTTGCATTCATTGGCTGACGCTGGCCTTTGCAAAGACACTATAAAAGGCCTGCACGCCATTTTTTCAGTTGCTGTTTGTTGGTGAATGAATAAAGAAGACTTGCTGTTCACACTACTTGTTTCCTTGCAATGCCTTTAACCCGCGAATTTAACACAGATAATATTAAAAATATTGTGGCAGTTACTAGATATAAACTTGGCTTTGTCACTAATAGATAAGCTAAATTTTACCTTGCTTTTTGTTTATTTACTTTATTAATTTCCTTAATTATGTTGTGACAATAGTGCAGGGACATTTCTTCATAGGTATCTTAATGGCTTTTGAATTTTTGAAAACTTTGCAGGAGTAAGCTTCTCACCTATAATAGGCATTCCCTGTGTCTCTGGCATAATATCATTAGAATGATAAGAGTATCATGGCATTTCAAAATGTATTCTGGAAGTGATCTCTTCAGGTTATAACCCAATTAATTCATATCCTTTTGACTTTGGAAACTTCTATATTGCTTGTTATAGGAACCTCAGAGTTAGCTTTCTGGTATGCGATATAGCATTTGTGCAGTTGCCAAAATTCAGACTATTGTAAACCAATAGGGAATTAACCACTTTATAACTCCTTATAACAGACATGTCAAACACAAGGCCCGGGGCCCGGATGCAGCCCGCGAAGTGGTTTCATGTGGCCTGCGAAGCCATCCTGGAAACAGTGAGGGAACGGCCCCCGCTGCCTTGGCCCTGGCCCAGGCCGGCTGGGAGCCAATGTACAATTTTTTGATGGCCATCTATGCTGAAATGCATTCAGTCTTAGCTCCACAAGGCCATCTGGAAACAGCGAGGAACCAGCCCTGCTGCATCGGCCCCCACCCCCTGGGTGCATGCTGGGGAGGTGTCACCCTTTATGAGGAATGAAGAAATGCACCATCGCCTGGAAGTGGCCAGCAAATGGCCCTCACCTACTTCACATATCCGGCTTGATGGGCTCTGCCCTGGTCCCACCTCTTTCTGCCAGAGACCCTCAGATCTGTCCCACTCCTGCCCAGGCCCCCACAGGCACCCTTGATGCAAATGATGTAGAGCTGGCCATGCCCACCCAGTAGGCCACACCCACTCCATCCATGCCCACCCAGTAGGCCGCACCCACCTGGCCCCCCGAGGGCAACCGCAATGCTGATGCGGCCCTCAATGAAATTGAGTTTGACACCCCTGCCTTATAACATTTGCCTAATAATACATTATATTTAGCAGGCCTGGTGGTATAGTGGTTGGAATGTAGTTTTGCAGGCTAATTTTGCCCACAGTCTGAGTTTGATCTTGATGGCGCTTGAGGTTGACTCAGCCCCTCATCCTTCTGAGGTTGGTAAAATGAGAACCCCGATTATTGGGAGCAATATGCTGACATTGTAAACTGCTCACAGTGCTGTAAAGCAGGGCTTTTCAACCTTTTCACAGACTGTACCACCTTTAGGACATGACAATATTCGAGTACCACCAGTGGCTTAGCAAGGTGTCAAAATTTTAATGACCAAAAAAACCAGGAAAAAGTGTACCCATTTACCACACTTTTAATGGGAAATTTGTGCCTGCTTCTCTGCCATCTGCAGTCGTGGCTAGAGAGTGCTTACTGACAGAATTAAGTCAGATTCCAGCTGAAGGCAATTCCTTTCCTTAGTTTTTATACATGTTGAAGAAGAAAATGCCTTCTCGCACAAATATGTGGAACTAAATGGCAGTAAGGCTGCGATAGCCTTTCCCCCCGCTTCCAGATATAGTTTTGCAGCTTGGCTCCAGAACTCGGTCAGTGTTTTTTCATTAAAAAGTTCCTTCAAAGTGCGGTTTGATGTCAATTCCAGAAGTGCCTCTTGCTTGGAGAAGAAAGGTCAGAGTTCACAACATTGTCCATGATGAAGGGTGATGCAACCCAGCAAATTCTAGTATCACATCCTCTTGACACGAATGGAAAATACAACACAAACTCTGTGTGCAATTTTTCCAAATGATTTTTATGGCAGTTTCAATGCCCTCAGTGTCAACAATAGAATTTAGTTCAATAAAGTCTGACAAATTGGGAAATGATGCAATATTTCCTTTTTTTACTTGTCCTATCCACAGGGAGATTTTTTTGTGGAAGGCACAAACTTTGTCTTCCATAACAAACACATCATGATCGTGGCCCTGCAACAACTGATTAAGTTCATTTAGTTTTTTAAATATGTCAGCCAAATAGGCAAGGCAGGATACCCAGAAGACATTTTCAAACTTTTCTGCTATGGGTGATGAAACATTTGTCAGGAACAGGTGTGTTTCATCTCTTGGCTCGAATAATCTCGATAATGTTTCCCCTCTTGACAACCAGTGTACTTCTGTATGAAAGAGAAGAGTGCTGTGCTCAGAATCCAAATCCTTGCATAATTGCTGGAATAAACATCCATTCAATGGCCAGCTTTTGATGAAATTTATTATTTTTGCAGCATCCTCCAAAGTCTCATGTAACACTGTGCTCATCCGTTTAGAAGCAAGTGCATGATTATGCAAGATGCAGTGATTTGAAACAATGGAGCTGTTTCTTGACTTAGCTTGTGCTATCACCCCCGAAGCTCTTCCTGTAATAGCTGCTGCACTATCAGAACAAATTCCTACACACCAAGTCCATAATATTCCATATTCACTGAAAGAATTGACGATTATTGTGAATATTTCTTCCCCAGTCATTCTGCCAGGTAGTGGGTGGCAAAATAATACGTGTTCCAGTATATCGTCCGAATCAGGAACACGCACAAAGACAATTAATTGTACTTCACCAGCTATGTCGCTGCTTTCATCCAATTGAAATGCAATTTTTTCTGCTGCTGTGATCTTTTCCACCACTTGTTGAATAACATCTGTGGCCATATCTTGTATTCGTCTTTGGACAGTGTTATCAGAACATGGAATATTACGAATAGCATCAGCCATTTTTCCATCAAAGAGAATTGAAGCAATTGCAATGGCAGAGGGAACCACGACTTCTTCAATGATTGTGTGAGGCTTATTTCGTTTAGCTGCTATCAAGAATAATTCATAAGATGCTTCTAGACATTTTTTAGAGATAGTAGTGGATTTCATGAAAGCAGCACAGCATTTTATAAATTCATCTCTTTATGTTTTGTTGTAAAATGTCTCTGGAGCAAAGAAGCCTTCATGGAATGCTTGGATAATACTCTCTCCCTCTCCCTCTCCCTCTCCCTCTCCCTCTCCCTCCCTCCCTCCCTCCCTCCCTCCCTCCCTCCCTCCCTCTCTCTCTCCCCCCACTATAATAATTAAGATGAGCAGTGTTGAGTCCAATATAAAAAAATGACTAAATCTCTTGATACAGGAACAGTTGCAAAAACTGCATGCCAAGATTCTGGTGCAAGAAATCTCAGCCTGTGTAAGAACTACAACCTCCCATGAAAGACACCCCAAAAGTTGTTACTATTGTGAGTGGGCAGGAGGGAAACCAATCTTTTCAATAGGCATGTTACTGTTTATACTCTGAAGGGCAGCTATATAAGTGGCCCTACCAAGACAGGAGTACTTTGTAAAGCTCTTCCACATATATCAATTAAAATGTAAGAGAATGAAAGAGCAAGAGAGGTTTTAACAAGTTGGTCCAAAAATTCTTTCCTGGAACCATGTGGACTGCCTATATATGTCTCTTGAAGCTGAGCTAATGGATATTTTGCCTTTTATAAAACTATGCATGTTACATTTTACTCTGAAGAATGATAGATGTCAAATCTCCTGCTAAGAGGAAAAATTGGCTTTAAAAGTGGGGAAGAGACTTGCAATGTATTCAGACAGAGCTCAAATCTGCCCCAGTGTTGTGGAAAATTATCCCACAACAGGTCCTTCCAACAGAATGACCCTACATATTCATGGATAATTGTGGAAGGGGTTGGACAGAAAGTGCTTTGGTTCAGCAAGTTGCAAGGCAAGGATCAATAGGAAAAGAGACAGATTGGCAACATGTTTCTATCAACCCATAATGCTAACTCAGCGTTGTTTTCCCTGGCTGGGGGAGGCAGGCCAGATCCAGCTTCTTCTGCTCTTCAGACCTTTTACTGATGTGGCTGCCTAGCTACATAGGAGCATCTGTTCCTACCCACAAAACTGCACTGAAGAATTTGCTTGAGCTTCGCTGGAAAACATGCTGCTTGCTAAGTAAAGTCCCAGGATCAGCACCGGGCTATAGCTGATCCGCGCTTCTGGGCGGCTGTATCAGCTGTAGCCTGGCGCTGACCCTGGGGCTTCACTTAGCAAGCAGCATGTTTTCTGCAAGGAAGTGAGCTGGGCAGGAGCCCAGGAGCAGTGCCAGGCTACAGCTAATCCGCACTTCTGGGCGGCTCCGCAGAAATGCGGATCAGCCGTAGCTGCACACACCGATCTGGGCTCCTGCCCAGCTCGCTTGTACTTCTGGAAAACATGCTGCTTCCTAAGTGAAGCCCCAGGATCAATGCCGGGCTACAGCTGATCCGCGCTTCTGGGGCTCAGCAGAAGTGCAGCTCAGCTGTTGCTGCGCTCCTGGGCTCCTGCCCAGCTCACTCACTCGCTAACTCAACCTTCGCCTGAAAACACGTGCTTGCTAAACACGCCACTCACAACCTTCATCTGAAAACATGTGCTTGCTAAACACGCCACTCACTAACTCAACCTTCATCTGAAAACATGTGCTTGCTAAACACGCCGTTTGCTTGCTAGCCCTTTCCCTGAAAACACACTACTTGCTCACTCATTCTTCCTCGCTTGTTGTTCCTCCAAAAACAGGCCACTCGTTCTGTCTCTCCTCACTGCTTCAGTAAGAAAAGCCTCTTCTCTTCTCAGTCTGCCCTTTTATACCTTCTCTTCTCTCCGCCCTCTTCCTCCTTTTCTCTTCTGGGTGCACCGGAAGCTCCAATTATTATGTTGCCAAGTGGCAGATCCTAGGGATTCTGCCAAGCTCTGCAGCTTCAGCTGATCTCCTTCAGGTCTGTGCGGCTCTGCTTTAACTGGTTCCCTCCCCCATTACAATTAGCTAGGCTCGTGTGCCACCAGCCAGGTGCTAAAGTACCACTGGTGGTACGCGTACCATGGGTTGAAAAGCCCTGCTGTAAAGCACTATGGAGTGGTATATAAGTTTGTTAATCATATAAATTTGGTCAGAGGAGAAGTCCTCAAGTCTCAGGGGAATAATGTCCTTCCTTCCTTCCTCCCCCCCTCCCCTCCCTCCCTCCCTTCCTTCAATATAATCACTCATCTCAAATATATACATGACTCTGAATGGCCAACAGTGATTAAAAACAAGGTGAAAACTATTATAAACCCATTACTGGGGTTATGACAGTAACTGGGACTGCTGGTTTTGATGTCATTAAGTGATGCAATCATGTGACTTTGAGCCTTAGCAATGACAATCCCAGTTGCTTTTGCCATTGTAGCCCAAAGTTTACATGTAACAGGACAGGTAGATACAACTGGGGGGAGATGGTCCCATTAAGAGCTTTATAAATAATTACCAGACCTTGAATTGAATCTGGAAACATGCTGGCAACTAAGGCAGCTGAATGAAAAGTGCCCATACTTTTATATATACATAGGGATGGTTCATAGTGAATGAAGGTGGTAAATTTACTTGGACTCTCATTATATTTGTTAGGAGATAGATACTTGGTTTTAGTGGCCTATGTCTGCTGCAGTTTCTTTAGGATTTGGGCATGGGACTGAAGGCTGTGTCTATAGTCTATCTGAGTTGCCAGTTGGTACTAATATTACAGGAAGACATTGGTAACTTGATTAATATGGGAACCCTTAGAGCCAGTGTGCCCCTTGATGGTGACAGTAGGATTATGAATGGATACTCAAACTTCCCACTTAGGCTCATCAATAAATCATAGTCTCCAGGCACTTAATCCAGCTGTCAATTAAATCTAACCCCTGGTGTGCCTCCTACTTAAGAAGCTATTCCTGGACCTTAACATTCTGGTCAATTTTTGTTCTGTCTCCCATCTCCCCTTTTTGGGAAAGATAGTTGAGAAGGTGATGGCATTGCAAATCTAGAAGATCCTGAAGGAAATTGATTCTTTTGACACTTTCCAGTCAGGGTTCAGGGCTGGAGATGGGATCAAAACTGCATTGGTTTTACTCCTGGATGATCTCTGGCAGCAGCGGGATGGAGGTAGTGATGCCTCCTTGCTCTTCTTGACTTCTTGGTGGCTTTGTTATCTTTTGCGCTGACTTAGGGAGTTGGGGTCATTGGCATAGTTTTGTACTGGTTCACCTCTTCCTCTGAGACTGATCCAAGTTGAAGTTAATAGTAAGCGAGAGGTCCAGTCACAGCTCCCACTTTGGAGGGGCCACGGGTTCGATGGTTTCTCCACTTCTTTTTAACATCTATATGAAACTACTAGGTGAGATACTCCATCATTACCAGATGAGGTATCACTAGTACGCTAATGATACCTAATTATATATCTTCATCCTGGGTGAAGTGAGTGATGTAGTGGATGTTCTTTCATAGTATCTGGAGGCTGAAAAAGGAACAACAGACTTCAGCTCTGATATGATGGAGTGGCTATGAGAGAGCCCCTCTGTATCCAGGAGTTTATCATCTTTGGTTTGAATGGATTTACAGTACCCCAAACAGATCTGATGCTTAATCTGGTGGTCCTCTTGGAGTCAAGGCTCCTGCTCGAACAGCAAGTGCGATCGTGGTTAGGAGGGCTTTTGCTCAATTTCATGCTGTGTGCCAGTTACACTCTTTCCTGGATAGGGAGGCTTTCCACTCACTCACTCATGCCTTAGTTATCAGCCATTTGAAACTATTACAACACATGCTACATGGGGCTACTCTTGAAAGCATCTGGAAACTTTAGCTGGTGCAAAGTGCCATTGCATGAGCTATATTGAGTGCCCCAAAAAAGCACATATAACACCTCTGCTCCACAAACTGCACTGGGTGCCAGTTTGCTTCTGGGTCCAATTCAGTGTGTTGATTATGACCTATAAAGCTCTACATGGCATCGGGCCAGGCTACATATAGAACTTGCTTCATGTCATCACATTAATCCATCCCATCCCATCAAGCAGACAGGTATATTGCAGACCCCGTCAGTTAAAGAATTATGGGGGTCTAGGGAAGAGAGCCTTCCCTGCCATTGCTCTTGCCCTATGTAATATTCTTCTCCCAGAGGTGAGGCAAGCCCCAAATTCCTGCCCTTCTGAAAAGGGGGTTAAAACATGGCTCTGCGGTCCTGAATGGGGAGCCCAAAAGAACATTTGGAGTTGGTTGGTACCTTGAGAACCATCCCTTTGCCTTTGTCAACTATTTTTTAACAGAGTTTAATTATTCTTGCCTCCTTAAATTTTTAAATAATTTTTACATTTTAATTTTAACATTTTAATTTTTACATCCCATTTTATATTTTGATGCTTTACTATACAGCACCCAGAGTCCCTCTTTGAGGGAGATGGACAATTCAGAAATATGAAATATAAAAATAAACAAACAAAGGGAAAGAGACACTGAATTTTTATTAGAAAAAAATCATGTTTTATTTCTAATCATAAAAAAATGAATTACAATATGAAACATTTGGGCCACATTTTCATTTGTGCCTTTAAATCCTTAAGGTAAAAAAGTTAAATAATCCTAAGCTAGCAGATCTGGTAAATAATTTTTGTTCCCTGTTGTTTCATCTTCTTTTCAACCATGGATATCCAGCAAATCAAACCTGTTTTACAAGCCTGTAGTATGCTCTGTGTTTTTTCTCATTTTGGGGGACAATTTAATTCTTTTTACATTTCTAATATATTGAATACTGTTTTGGTTAAGGTCATAGAGCTGTGTATATTGGTGTGCACGTCCCCTTTGGAAAACAGGGTCGACGACGTCATAGACACCATGGTCATAAACGTCATAGACGAAGAAAAGAAAAGGAGACTGATAGAGAAGATGGGCGGGAATCGCCTTCTTATGGTAAGAACTTTGTTAACACTTTACATTTATAATTAATCTAAAATGGGTTCACTATTGTCTGGTAGCATACCAATTTGTGGTATGTGTTGTAACAAGATGGGCAGCAAAATTTAATAAATAAAAGTAAAAAATAAAAATTAATATAATTCAGTTAAAAAACAAATTTTCTAGTTTTCCTAAATGTATGGTGTATAATATAGTATGTCTTCCTGGAACAGATTGTCAGAATCTCATTATTGCTTTTTCAGGGAAATAGCTGCCCATGAGACTAGCTTTATTTCAAAAGCAGACTAATCAGGGAAAGTTGGTCCTCTTTACAAGACAGACTTTTGATTTCCACTTCTTGGGGTTCCCCTATTTTTCTTTCTACCTCTTTCCCATTCATAATTTTCTTGACTTCATTTTATTGTGCTCCCCAGACCATGGAAAGAAAGATATAAAGATACAGGAAAAAGGCTGTGAGGGAACAATGGCAATAATTGGAGACTTTTAAAAGAAAACAGAAGAGTCTTTAAGATTGAGGTTAAGTGCCTGACTTGGGGAAAACATGATTATTACGGCCTAAAACAATCATAATAACAATAATCAATATTGTATTATGCTTGCTTTAGACTATAATAGTGGCAAGGCACAGCCTTTTTTATTTTGAGAAAACAAAAAAATAAAAAAGACCCTTGCCATAAAAAAACAGCCTTTAGAAGCAATCTGTATATATTGAAATAGGGGAGGCTCTATTTTCATGCTACTGACTGATCTATTGGTATTTTAAAATACTGGTGCTTTTAGCTACAATTCAATTTAGTCAATACTTCGTAATATATAAAAACACTACAATTTATTATCATTTACAAATGACATTTGTGCATTCTATCTTTAAATGATTTAAATATAATTTCTTGAATATGATTCTTATCTATTTTATAATATTACAATAACATTTTATAACATAATAAGTTTTTTTATCCTTGTAGTAGTGGCTTATGTCTAGTTCACATACTAGTTAAGAATAGTAAACTTTACAAATATTCTGTATTTTGTCAAACTTAGTATGTTGCATGAATATATCATTTATTGCAGTATTTTTGCCTTTAACATTTTCAAATAAAATGCACTGGTTCAGTTCATTATTTTAGCTAAGCCAACAAAATATGGTTTATGTTAAAAATAAAGTAATAGTATGAAGGAAAAAGGAAATTTCCCAGTCATATGTCTCATTCACAATCAAATTATTATTTGGTTTATTGTGAGCAAATCCAGAAAGTGTTTGTGCCTAAGATCTAATTTCCATACAGTTCCATGAATATGAGGTTTTATGAGTATGCAGTATGTCTGCTTACATTAGCAATTTTTGTTCATAAGGTCACCTACTTGGGCAGACAAATCCATGAACTGAACCAGTGTATGAACTGTGTTTTGTCATGGTTTGATTAATTTTTAATTAGTTTTTTTTATAATATGTAATTCATTTTACAGAATTATAACTTACCATTATATTGAGATCTGAGCAACTAAACATCCAACAATACTGTTAATGATAGTTTTATAAGAACAATATCTATAGCCTTTTTATTTGCTGTTTTTCTGTCTCATTCTTTCACAAATAAATTTATGATTAGCAGTGTTGATATGGATACGAATGTGGATATGTACTTAATAAGTGTCTCAAATTCAATTTTCATTAAGACACACCATCCCAGAGAGTGCAATTTATCCTTGGTATAGAGGATGATGATGAAGAACACATTCCACATGATCTTTTTACTGAAATGGATGAACTTTGTTTTAGAGAAGGAGAAGAATATGAATGGAAAGAAACTGCCAGGTAACTTGGAAGATAATTCCTTTTGCTTCTTATTTATAATCAAGAGAAATGGCATACATTTGAATATTTGAAGGTGATTAAGTAACTGAAGCTTCAAAACTCTTAAGCATATTTCTTCTGGCTATAAATATTACTGCTTTGTCTTAAGTTGGGTTTTTTCACATTTTTGTAAAATCACTGTTATTTTGCAACATTGAAAAATGTTGTGGAAATGAACATGTAAAATGAAAGTGGAATCCTACACTTGGTCCCACTGAAGTGTGGACTTTAATTCTGCATAGACAAATATAGATCTCTGTAAGTTTCTTTAAAAACAAGTATCCTATACCTGAAAAAGAATAGATCATATTTATTGTTCATTATACTTATGTATATTGCAGATGGCTAAAGTTTGAAGAAGATGTTGAAGATGGTGGTGAGCGATGGAGCAAACCTTACGTGGCTACCCTGTCTCTTCATAGTTTATTTGAATTGAGAAGTTGCATTTTAAACGGAACGGTTATGTTAGATATGAGAGCCAATTCGCTGGATGAAATAGCAGGTCATATACATTTTACTTAAGATTTTATTTTAATGTGTTTTATATGTTTTGTAAAGTAATTAAATATATTTGTGTCTTATGGTTTCAAAAAATCACAAAGGAATTATGTGCTCTAGTTTGGAGTTCATTGACAATATTGCAATGGTATTTAAAAATCCTATTAGTTGCAGCCCAGCAGGGTATGAATTAAGATAGACATTTGTATTTCACCATCTTTTTCATGGCTTTAAAGATAGCTTTTTTTAGGATAGAAGCCTTCCTTTTTTCAAATCATATTTTTTTTAACCTAGCACACTTTCATTCCTCTAGTGACTGTCAAGTCTAACAGACCACCACTAAGCTAATATTTTTAGGTTTACACCAATGATTATGATCCAAAGTAGCTTTTTTTGATTTGGATTTGCTCCAGATGGGTGAATTAAATTCTTGAAGTAGCTTAACTATTGCTGAAAATTCTGGGAATTGAACTCTAAACATCTAGAGGGCACCTAGGCTAGAAAAAGATTTTCTAGAACAGGAATGAAGTTGGCGATTATTTTTCCTATGAATAGAGAAAAATAACTTTGGCAAGCAGCCAGCAGTGGGTAGAAAAATAACTTTGGCAAGCAGCCAGCAGTGGGTAGATGTAGCATTGTGGAATTATGCAGGATATTTTTTCTTTATTCTTTTTTCCCCCTACACTTCCTAAAAATACGAAAACACAATAAATTCCCTAAGAAAAATCTATGCCTACAAAATTCCCGCAGCTGGATAATACAGAGAATCATAAGTGTACGCCATTTTTGGTATGATTTAGACCTAAACAGTTTAATACTGTCTTATTAAACATTTCCTACATATCCAAGGGTTGAAGATGTCTCTCCATTATATCAATCTTTCATATTTATTTTAAATTTCATTTTTCCTTTGTAGACATGGTATTGGATAACATGATAGCTTCTGGCCACCTTGATGAATCAATGAGAGAAAATGTCAGAGAAGCCCTTCTGAAAAGACATCATCATCAGAATGAAAAAAAGTTTAGTAATCGGATTCCCCTCGTCCGATCCTTTGCAGATATAGGCAAGAAACATTCTGACCCTCTCTTGCTTGAAAGAAATGGTGAGATAAGTTGTGGCAACCTGTTGTTTTATTGTTTAATAATATAATGCAGAGATGTGAGAAAAGTCAGCACTGCAAAAAATAAGATCAGAATTCTTTCCCAGCAAATAATAATTGTAAAAACAGTTGTGCAGAAAACAAAATTATATTTTGTTATACAAAATTACCTTTTGAACTCAGAAAGTTTAGGGCAAATGATTGTATCACTGAACTCATTTTATAGTTTTGTCTTTCTAGTACCTTAAACCATGATATGTGTAAAAGCAAAGCTATGGCTATTTTGTTACATATGTGATGTCTTATTTCTCCTTGTGTTCTGCATCTTCCTGTCAACATTTTCAGTAAAATCAGTTTTTTGTTAACGCAAATATAGAAGTTAGCTTTCCTTTAATACTAATTAAAGAGTCAAACTTGGAAGAAAAAAGGGGTTTTTTTTGCCTAAAAAGACATCCTGGTTTTGCAGTTGTGAATATTATATATGTCAGGTATATGATTTATTATAGAAATATAATATAGGATATACAGGTTGTATCTCCCTTATTCACTGATTGCTCCTCCCTCTGTCCCTGTCACATTTGGAGTAGTTTCTGATATTCTGGAAGTCTTTCATCCTTTCAGGTAATTTTCATTTTAACTGTGTTGTCTGAATTTTTCATTCCAACTGCTGCAAATTTGTTGGCTTTTGAAGAATTTACTTTTCTCAGGTTGCTTAATTGGGTATAAACTGTCTAAAGATCTAAATTGCTAACCAGAAATTGGATTGCTTTCTAGTGAATTGTTCATTATAGTTAGAAACTAATAATAAATGCAGGTCTTTAAAAGATGCTCATCTAAATATTTCTCCTTTCTCTGGGGTTACATCTGTCTGGAACTGTCATATGCATTTTTATAGTTGTGATAAGAATACTGGTTGTCAATTACTTATTCATGTAGACATGCATGTTTTTGTTTACTGCATATTTTCTGAAGTTTGCATTAAGAAAGGATCTTAATATTTTATTGCATATTCAAAATAAATAGATTTCTATTATAAGTATAGCATTCTGGTTAGGGCTGTAGAAACCATTAACATTCAGTGATTTGGGGGAGGATGAATTCCATTCATAAATCAACCCTGTGAATGGTTTATACAGTGCTGACGTTTTCTTCAAAACTTTTGAACTGAAGTAATCATGAATTTTATATATACTGTATCTATATATGCCTTTTGAATGTTCATTATGTGGAAATATATGCTGACTTTTTTAACATCTAAAATTCTGCTTAGCCCTCAATACTTGCTTATCTCACCTTATCACCTATGAAATTATGCCTTTAAAATCTTTTATAGTATCAGATGATATGATTTCATGTTTCTACTGAATATTTTCCTCACTTTATTTGTTTTATCTCAGGGGAAGGCCTTTCAGCCTCCCGCCATTCTTTACGAGCAGGTCTCTCTGCCTCAAATATTTCCCTGAGAGGAGAGAATCGTTTGTCCCTTCTACTCAATTACCTTCTTCCTGGATCTCCAACAGCCTCAAGGAGCACAACCCCTTTACCTACCCCACAAAGCACTCCACCTTCCAGTCCTAGGTGTGATTCCAAGGGAACCACAAATTTCCAGCCAACTGAGCATGAGGTGTCTCCTTCTAATGATGATATCCCTAAAGTAGTAATTCATCCACCTGAGGAAGATTTAGAAGCTCAGGAAAGCAAGAAGAGGACAGAGGAAAATAGTGACATAACACCAGGCAACTATTTGAACTCAAATTATCCATGTGTGGTGCTTTCTGCAGCTGAATCACTCCCACTGCAAAATTTTTAATCACACAGCTTTAGCACCCATAAATTGTACATCAGTCTGCTATTTGTTTGCATGCCTCATTATTTTTGCGTGATATTTTCTTGGAAAACTTTATTTGGTATTTTGAAATAGATAAAATATTTGATCCTTAATATTAACATAAATATTAATACATTGAAAGCAATTACATGTGTGAACATTTCTCCATACTTTTTTGTTTTTTAACAAAATGAATTCATTCAGCAACTGCTCCTGCTTTAAAAGACAAAGAAGGTGTGTGGGGGGCGAGGAGGGGAATAAGTTACACATTTGTAAACTACAAAATGGTGGCCTTTTCCTTATTTTCAAAACTTCTAATTCCCATAAGGAAGGTACACTAAGAACCCGAATATCATGCTCTCTGTTGTGAAATTTCTACCTAATTTCAATATTGCAGTAGTACAAAATGCTACTTTTGGCATTACATGAGACTTTGAATGGGAATACAGAATATTTTATACTATGCAATACAACAATTAAAGAGATATTTAAATAGAAAGAAAACCTTGCAAGCCTACTTGGGCACTAAAAATAAATTGTGGGATGACCTAACTCTTGTAGTATGAATATGGTACGGAAAATTCTTGCATGATGCTTCTTTCTTGGATTCCTATACTTTTCATGCATACATATTTGTTAGTACCAGAGAATAATACTCTGGCTAAAATGTGACTATCTAACCATAATCATTGATTCAGTTTCAAGTTATCTTTTTCTTCCATTTCTTTAGTTATATAAAACATTTTATCTTTTAGCTAAAGAAACCTTCAGAATAGCTTTGAAAGATGAACATTGTTCTTGTTATCATGATTATAATTAGGCTATAAAAATCATGTAGGAATAATGAAGTAATATAAGTTGTTTAAAATTGCTAAAGAAGGAGGAAACAGGAACAGGAAACAGTTTATACATCTTTTGAGCAGATTAGGGTATGCATTTTCATAATAATTACATTGCAATTGTATTTCAACCAGAAATAGATTTCCACAAATCTACAAAAAAAAATTAATTGATACTGAATTATTTTCCCAATCTTTAACATACACATACATGCATGCTCACATATTGACATGTTGACTAGTTGTTTGGCAGCTGTTTGAAATTATAATAGACTTTTCTAGGATTATTTATAACCTGGTTTTGAAGTTCTGATGCCCCTGTGGTCACATTTATTTATTTATTTATTTATATTTAAACTTCTATGCCGCCCTTCTCCCCAGAGGGACTCAGGGCGGCTCACAGCATGTTAAAAAACAACACAAAAAAACATTTCCCCTATAAAACCAATTAAAAAGCAAATATATTAATAGCTGTGTCATATTTAAAATCTTTGAAAATTTTTTAAAAATTATTCCCTATTTAAAATNGTAGTCCAGGCGGGAGGTGACGAGAGCCTGAGTGACTGTGCGCAAAGCATCCCGGTCCAGAAAAGGGCGCAACTGGTAGATCAGGCGAACCTGATAAAATGCCCCCCTGGTCACGGCCGACAAATGGTCTTCCAGTGTCAGCCGTGGATCCAGGAGGACACCCAAGTTGCGTGCCCTCTCTGAGGGGGCCAGAGTCTCATGACTTCATTTCAGGTGCACAGCTCACATTTACAGCTATCTGCAGAATTCCACAGTCAGATAACATGATTTTGTAGCATTTTGCTGAAAACTGGTTTCTGGTTTTAGCAAAATCAGTCCACAATAAACAATTGGTTCACCTAATGACCACAGTGTTTGCTTAATGACTGCCATAAAAATGTAATAAAATCAGGGTGATCATGTGGGTGACCCATTTTACAACTGTCATGACTTATAACTGTAGTGGGCAGGCTCCATTGTGATTGTAGGTAGAGATCTATATGCATATATTTCCTGTTTTACATATTCACTTATCCTACACTTATAGTGCTATCTGATTTTAGCATGGGATACAATGAGATTAATATAAGATTTTCCTCTTATAGTAATGTGATATTTAGAGAACCATATGTGATTTATGGAGTGCAATGGCTCAGTGGTTAAAGGTGCTGAGCTTGTCAGCTTGAAAGCTGACAGCCCAAAGTTGAGATCCGGTGCCGGGTGACAGGGTTAGGTCCTATTACTTGCCTCAACTCCTGCCAACTTAGCTGTTTGAGAGCATGCAAATGCGAGTGGATAAATAGGTACCACTTTGGTGGGAACGTAATGCGTTCCATGTGCCTTGGCATATAATGCTGGCCACATGAGCACAGAAGTATCTTCGGACAATGCTGGCTCCCTCATCTGAAATGGAGATGAGCACTGCCCCCTAGAGTTGGACACGACTGGACAGAGAAAATCTTTATATGATATATGCATTTCTCTCTGTTTACACCAGGATGTTTGGTTGCTGCATGACAAGTACTAGTTATATCATGGTGAAACCTGTCACACCCATGCACCAGGAATTAATAGGAAGACTTGATTACCAGTTGTATGCCTTTAAGTGCTTGAAATTGCATCTCTGTTTCACATTTCCTATGATAGGCTTTATAAAGTTGATTTAAGGTTTATACATGTACTTGAAGTTTGATTGTGTTCTTGCTATTTACTTGCTAATAGATTCTCAAGCATATTAAGATAACAAGGAAACCGTTCACTTTTTTTTCTTTTGCTCTTTGATTTTTGTTTTTATCTTGAATGAGTGCTATCATTTGAGACATTTAATGTTTCACATTCATTTGGGCTTTGAGTTTCTAGTAACTGCTGTGGAAAAGTATGTCTAAAATGGATCAAAACTCACTTAACAAATGTCTCACTTAACAACAGAAATTTTGGGCTAATTATGGTCCTAAGTCAAGGACTACTAAGTCAAGGATTGTTAATTGTAGTGCAAGAAAGATATATTTTAATATTCTGCCTTTAATAGATTATATACCTTTGTTATGTTAAAAAAAACAGCTATTATCTAGAAATGGGTTTGAAAACAGGGCAGAAAGTAGTGTCATTCATAAAGTAATAGAGTATCAACTACTGAAGTACTGAATAAGGTGAAGCTTATTTTAGTAATTTGAGTGTGATGGAATTAAAATGTTTATGAGCCTTGATAAATTCCTTTCCAGATCAGTTGCTATTTATTTACTTGTTAGATAATATCTCATATTTTATTTTAAGAGGTCAAGGCAGCATTACAACAGTATTACAGAATTTCAGTAGATTCTATTCCATCTCTGCTATAATTCATTTACCAAGAATATTAATTCTAAAATCAAGTCAGAAACACACTGAAGTAGATAGCTGAGACTGTATATATTCATTTTATACTTTTTTAAAAGGTATGTACCAGTACTATGGTGGTACTTGCTTTTTCTCTGTCTGGATGTGTGAGTATTCTCTGAGCTGTTGACACTGGTCCAGTCATCCAACATTGGATGTCTCTTGGATCTATTCAGGCAGAACAAGTACTCTTGACAATAGGAGCCAGACTAAAGTGCAATCTAACAGCTTTATTCATAGGAGGGGATCACATAAATTCATTTACTTTTTTAGGAGGTCATGATATCACAAAGTTTTATATTCTAATATATTCAGTTCATCACCTCAAAATTACATATGTTCATATTACATATTGGCCTCTGCTAGGTTTGAGTCTCCTTGGCCTTTAAATGTTGAACTATATTTCTCATATGTAGCATTGGCCATATTGGCCACAGCTCCTGGGCATTGTAGCTGAACAATATATGGAAAACTGCAGATTTCCTACTCCTATTTTAAATGATAAAAAATTTGTCATATTTTTCATTCTGATGTGTAAAACAATTACATCATAGATTTGTTACACAAGATTGATATAATGAATATAATGAATAATTTTCCTCTTGAGGATTAACCTACAGTTTATAATTCTAAACTTGTACAAAAACTAATATTTGGCTAGAATGGTAGGGTCCAAAGGAGAAACAGAACATTTTGGGGTCTTCTGCAACATTCTGCTTTCAGGATAATGTACATATTTCCCTATTTTGGCCATGAAAGCCAGCTGGATGACCTTGGGCAGTCACTCTCTCTAGACCCAACTCACCTTATAGGTTGTTGTTGTGGGGAAATAGCAGGAGGAAGATGTGTTGGATATGTTGTCTATTTATAAAAATAATAAAGGCAGGATACAAATAAGTAAAACTAAAATAAAAAGTAAGCAACCATTTAAATGGAATTTTATGTATTGCTTATCATTATAAAAATATTTTTTTGTTTGTTTGTTTAGGGAATTTATATGGCCACCCACTCACTTTCCATGACTCTAGGTGGCTTACAAAATATAAAACCCTAATATAAAGAGTAAAACAATAACCCACCCCTAATTCAAACTTAGGAATCTTTGCTTATGGATAAATGAATTGTTTGGATCATGGCTCAGATCCTACTTTAAAAAGTTTTCTTGCTTTAGGGCTGCACTAATGGATGATTGCTAACTTTCTAATGGTTCACTGCCATATAGATTTATTTAAGTATTCTAAGGTACATTTTCCTTTATTTTGTGATTGTTCCAGGGATTTCCAGTAAAATATGACATTCTTATAATTGTATGATCCATATTGGTGGTTAGGTGCACATTTTAAAATTTAAAAATAATACCTTTTTGGTGAATTTTGCAAAAGGCCATCATTTAGGTAATAGCTAATTTTAACACTTAATAAGCTTTCATTGTTTTCCAGAAAAAATAACTTGTTTGGCAATTTTGGTACTAATGCACTTTTTGTTTATTAACTTTCACATTTGCTTTTAGAAAGCTGTCATTGTTGTTATGTAATTATGCCTATTTCTAGGCAATGTAATTTTAAATACACTTCTTTATTCTAATTGTAGGGCTCTTAGCATCACCACAATCTGCACCTGGTAATTTGGATATTGGAAAAAGTGGAGAATTTAAAATTAGTGGAACAGGAGGGAGTAGAGAAAACAGTACCGTTGACTTCAGCAAGGTAAAGTTTTTAAGCTTTTAGAGAACACAGTTTTGTGCATTTTATGGAAGCTCGCTTTTCTCTTCAGAATCTACTTGTTTGTACTTGTATTATATAATATAATCTCTAAAATAAAGTTCTAGAATAAATTAGGTACAACTACAGATATATTTTAATAATTACCTGAAAATAGAGGATCAGTTAGGGACACTTTGATATAGTGCTTAAAAACACCAGAAATCAGGGGATTAAGTTCTAGTTCCACTTTAAGTATGAAGGCAACTGTATAACTTTGGATTAATCACTTTAAAACATTTCTGAAAATATTGCTAAGAAAACTTCAAGAGCTTGTCCAGGTAAATCACCAAGATTCAAGACTAACATTTGTACATACTTACATACACAGGCTGTGCCACTTTTATTATTATGTTATGTTATTTTATTTATCACATATGTGATAAATTCTATATAATTTCTTAAACTATCATTTTATTTTATTCATTGTAAGCTGAGAATCTATTGAGTACAGTGGGATACGTGAAAGAGGATGGAGAGGAAGGTGGAGTCAGGGTTAGGTTGGTGAGTGGAAGATTCCAGACTGATGTGGTTGACTTACTAGAATGGGCCAGTAGCGATATAGAGAAGAATCCACCTCTGTGGTAACTAAACATGCAGCAGTCTCTAAGGTTCCTCTTCAAAGACAGTAACGGTGTGGGAAAAAAGTGTTAAAGATCTGAAGTCTGACTGGGTAGAAATCCTGAATTAGCATTCAGTGCATTCTGAGTAGTCTACCATGGAAATTCAGTGGGTGATTTTTGATCAGTTATACCTTTTCAACCCACACTATCTCTCTAAGTTGTTTTGGAGAAAATAATGGAAGGAATGCTAGTATACTGCTTTGAAGCCTTAAACTGGAGGCTTGATATATCACAAATAAATTGATAAAATGGTTATGTGGCACTTCATAAAAGCTCTAGTCTAACTTGTCTGAAAAAATCCATGTTGTAAAAGGTTATAAATGTCTTTCAAGATAATTTGCTATTTTAATAGTATTTCATTTAATGTTGTTGTTGTTCAGTAGCCATAATAGTTAAAAGCAACAGCACAAGCACAACTCATCTTGCAGAATTGAGGTTTACTATGTTTTCTTTTATGCTGCAGCTTCCTTTTCCCCCCCTGATTACCATGTGAGGGACATAATTAGGGTGGGCAACAAATGTGAATTGAGATAAATTGTAGAAATGTATGTATGGATCTTGTGCTATTGTTGCTGTTATTGATTAAATACCTATGCTATCAAATCATCCAAATTCATGGTGGCTTACTAGAGGATAAATTATAATAAAACATTTATGATAAGAATAAATCACAATCTCACCTCATTTGCACGCTTTTAATTGAAACTATTCCTATCAGATTTCGTAAGATTTCCAGGTTAAAACAACACTTTTCAAATGCTTTTTCAAATACTGTGATATATTCCGTACTGCTGTTAATAATTAGTGGTAGTAAAGTTGTTTTCTATTTTAAAGATTCATTATATTTATATATATATTTAATTTCTAGAGAAATACATTCATGATTTGTCCAGGCATATTCTGATGCATAATAAAATTGTTATTATATAGATAGCCCATAAATTATGACTGTAATAGAGTCTGCTCATTACAGTTGTAAAATGTTGCAGTCATTAAGCAAGGCATCCATGTGATCGTCTTCCTCAATAGCCGCTGTCCTGACCATCTCAAATGTGGCTACTAAGCAATCACATAGGTAGGTTGAACAGAGAGAGAGAGAACTGCTTCCTGAAAAAGGGTAGGCAGCTGCTCTACTCCTTGGCATGAGCTAGAAAATTAGAAGGTCTTTTTCTCTAGCCTGGAACAGGACAGATAGGAGGTGCACTATACATGTTGCTATAGGACAGATAGGAGGTGCACTATACAGCATGTTGCTGCCCTGCTGCCCCTGGGCTAGAGAAAAAGAGAAAAAGAAAGCAGCTTGTCACCTAACACTGTCAGCTTCCCTGATGATTTGCAAACAGTGATCACACGATTGCAGAGGGCTTGGTAAGCCATTGTAAATGCGAATGGGTTGCCAAGAGCCCAGATCATGATTATGTGGCTATGGAGGCATAGCAACACCATAACTTAGCACTGGTTATATGTCCCTTCATTCAGTGTCATTGTTATTTCAAACAGTTGCTGAATGAATATTTGTAAGTCAAGGACTACCTGCATATGCTTGTGTAATACTAAGATCATTTATTTTTACATTCAGGATAGTGGGCTATAAGATTTATAGAAGAGTCCTTACCATGTCATTAAAACTCTGCTGTAGCATAGACATGGGCCCATTTTAGATGTACATACAGAATCCTGAATGGAGTACCTCAGGTAACAGTGTGATTTCCAGGTATAATAGGAATAAAGTGCATTTAGAACTATAAGTAGGGTAGAACCTCAGAGTTTAGACTATTGTAGGTTGAAGGCCCAAGTACAGAATTAAAACCCATATGTTTCCCTTTTTATGGAATTATCTACACAGAATTGCTTCCTCTAGTGCAGAGGTCTCCAACCCTTGAAGTACTGGAGGTACTCCAGGTCTGTGGCCTGTTAGGAACTAGGCCGCACAGCTGGAGTTGAGTATCAGGCGAGTGAACAAAACTGAAACTATTACCCCTCATTTGTGGAAAAATTGTTTTCCACAAAATTGGTCCCTAGTGCCAAAAAGGTTGGGGACCGCTGCTTTAGTGTAAATAATGCTAACCTGTAATAAAGTTATTATTTGTATAATTTATAATATAGTATTGCTCCTTTCAATGTTTTGGTTCCAATATATAATTCAGAAAAATGATGTAATCTTACTTAAAAGTTCTCTTAACAAAACAAATATATATAATAGTTTAATCATGGCAAATGCCATTATTCTAGCTCCTCTGTCACAGTTTTTATATTTTTACTTGGCCTGTTCTTCTCTGCACCTGCCTTGTCTCCTGTTGGGCAGGATTCTGCCTCCTGGCACTGTAGTTGTGGCACACTTGGTGTGGGACTCAAGAGGCCAGCTGTAAGTGTTTTTTTTTTCTGGATAGCTGTGTAACTGGTGTGTTGGTTTCAGTGATTTTTGTGTTTCTGTCTTTATGTGAGCCAATAGTTTGTACAATGCTATAATGTTGGTGAATTTTTATAATTATATACACAGTTCCCATGGGTAATTTGAACAACACTACTATATAAAGAATTAATTCTCCATAAATATTTTTTTATATTGAATTTATAAAACGAAGCAATTGTGTATATAATTACCTTGATTTGGTGGAATTTGTAGTTATTTAATATAAAACAATTTTATTCCCAAGATATAATTTTAATGAGTTTTTGTGATTGTATATTTTGACATAGTTATGAAACACAGCATTTGTATGTATGGTTAAATTAAATTGTTATTAAACTTCATAACATACATCACACTGTAATAATACAATATATTTTGCTTGCAACCTGTCACTTATTTGTAAATGTCAGTTTCAAAATGCTTTAGAATACATTAATATACTATTAACCATTCTTTGAAAATAGGTGGATATGAACTTTATGAGGAAGATTCCAATAGGTGCAGAGGCATCAAATGTGCTTGTTGGAGAAGTGGCTTTTTTGGAGAGACCGATTATTGCTTTTGTGAGGCTGTCTCCAGCTGTGCTTCTCACTGGTCTCACAGAGGTTCCTGTTCCTACACGGTAAAATAAAAATATAATGTAATAAAACTCTCTGTATTATTTTTAATATATATTATGTGATGCAATTTTTTTTTCTTAGAAAGAAAAAAGAGGCTGCTGTCTCTTTGTTGTGGGTTTATCATGCTGGTTTAATATCTTGTATGCAGATTTTATCTTATGTTGGTTTAACATCTCTTTAACTTCATAGTTCATACTTGCTCTTAATATTTGAGTTTTCTTCAGTGGCAAGTGCAGAAAATTAAACTTAAAATAACTTTCAGATTATTATTAGTATTTTGCATGGCATAACAGAATACAGCATAATGCATAAACATTCACCAAAACAACATATGAAATATGTATCAAAATATAAGATATCAGAGCAGTGAACCAATTTAAAAATACAACATAAATGATGATTAAATTATGAATAAAATTAAATTATGTATGAGCAGGTACTGGGATGGTTACTCCTATGGCCAGATATCTAAGATGTTTAGTCATTGAGAAATATTGCCCTCAAGATGATGTATTTCATGCAGGGATCCAGAGAACCTTCTGAGGGGGCATTCCATCACAATATGATGTAAAGTTTGTGGGATGTTTCCATAGTTATAGTCAGGATTATCAACAGCTCTCATTTATATTTCCAATATTGGCACCTGCCACAGTTGGATTCAAATCTGGCTGAGCACTGTCCAGATTTTCCTTGGGACATTAAAGCCAAAGGGGCATTGTACTGGATCAGACACTAAATTAAATAGATCTGGGTTAGTCCTCTCCTAGTGCTATGCTATCAGTGTCAAGGTCTTTACTGACTAATTGCTGTCCAAGTTTCCATGATAGGTTTTGAGATTTGAGTATGAATATTTGATTGTGACAATCATCATGTCTAGTAATAATCAGTTTGGCTCATATTTTGCAACTCCAATTTTAAGGCAAATTATCTTCTAAGATATTTCAAATACATATTAAAATGAGACAATATATTACAAAAATAGTATTAATTTTGATATTAAAAAATTGGAATGCCAATTTTATCCTCTTATCCTGCCAGCAGAGACAAAATAGAATTTTGTAATAATTTTGAGATAAATTCTGATAGCTATATTGTTATTTTAATAGAAGGGAAAATGAATTAGACCAGTGTGAATTACATAAAATGTTTGGCACAATTTTCTAGATGAAAACGTATAGTGTCATTACCATCCAGTAACATTGGATTAAGAAATTTCCAACCCATTATACTCATTGTAGTCAAAAGCATTGTGAATGCAACTATATAATTTCTAGTTGTTGTTGTTATATGTGCTATTATTCAATAGTAAAAATTCTAGTTGTCATTGACAGATATTATTGAATTCCTGCTATAATATTTGACTTTGCAATCCATTTTCATAATTCCACAGTTTCCTTTTTCTGTTGCTGGGACCAGCAGGTAAAGCACCTCAGTATCATGAAATTGGTCGATCAATAGCAACACTCATGACTGATGATGTGAGTACTGCCATTTACCAAATACCCCCTAAAATTATTTAAAATAGGCTGAAGTCAATATGCATTTTTATAATTAACTTAAATTTATAATTGTAGAGTATGTCATCTTATGTACACATATTAAATGCATTATGCCTTTCTTTGGCACATGCAGAGATGAGGTCCCATCTGTGTTTCTCCATTTTATTCAGCTCAACTTCTTTGTTGGTATTTGAAGAAGCAGCTGGATATATCCCTCATTTTTGGGATGTTAAATTAAAAGAATATAATAAGAAAAGAAATTGAATTATATATAGTCCTCAATTTATAACCGCAATTGACCCCAAAATTTCTGTTGCTAAAAGAGACAGTTGTTGATTGAGTTTTGCCCCATTTTACAACCTTTCTGGTCACATTTGATAAGTGAATCACTGCAATTGTTAAGTTAGTAATCCAGTTGTTAAGTTATCTGGCTTCCCCATTGACTTCGCTTGTCAGAAGGTTGTAAAAGGTGATCACATGATCCCGGTACATGCAACTGTTATAAATATGAATCAGTTGCCGAGCATTTGAATTTTGATCCCATGACCATGGGGATGTTGCAATGATCATAAATCACTTTTTTCAGTTCTATTGTAACTTCAGTCACTAAATGAACTATTGTAAGTTGAGGACTACCTCATGTAGTTTATACCAATGCTGTTCTTCATATCTCTCTATATCTTTGCCCTTGTGAACTAACCTTTTTTTCTATAACATGCATGGACTTCTTTGTACATTGTCCTTTTCTTTTGTTTTTAATCTTCTCTTTCATTTAACTAATTCATTTTTATTGTTTTGCTGTGCAATGTATATCATTTGACTATATGCCCAAATTACCTTGAAGTATTTTCTTCTAATAATTTTCATTTCATATTCAGTGCATTGTTCAATATCCATTAATTCTTGATCCTATCCTGCCCTTTTCTCACACACAGGTTTTAAGTGCTTTTTATATAAATGAGCAGAAGCATGCTATAATGAATAGTTATTTTCCTTTTTTTGGGACAAGTATTTATTCTTGCAACTGTGTTTTAGAAAGAATATTAACAAAATTTGGTTTTAGAAATTAGTTGCAGAATGCTTTCTCCTTGAGATCTGCATAGATTATAGATTCTTCCTTTAGGCTTTTAAATCTATAGCAGTTGAACAATTATTGAAGACAATATGAATCATCTTTCATATAATGCGGCTTCTTGTCTTGAGGAACAAAACACCCAGGACAAAGACTGCTTGGGTGAATGGGCCAGGCCGAAGAGCGAGGGGCGGAGGGCTAGGAGCCCATTGGCTAGGGAAAATGGCCGGGGGAGGGTTAGTGGAGGAGGAAAGCTGGCTGTAAATAGGCTGAGGCAGATGGGCAGAGGCAAAATGGGTCCAGCCAATAGTGGGAGCCTCATTCAGAAAACCCAATGTGTTTATAAGTTAATATTTTAATGGAGGTTTATTAAACTAATTCTTCATTTTGGTCTTTCAGCTATATTAGTCATGTTTTGTACTTCTTAGTAAAGAGTTCTGTAGTGTCAAAAAATCAAATACATATTTATATGCCTTTTTTAAAAGGTTTTCCATGATGTTGCTTATAAAGCCAAAGACAGAAATGATCTACTATCTGGAATTGATGAATTTTTAGATCAAGTGACTGTTCTTCCTCCAGGCGAGTGGGATCCTTCAATAAGAATTGAACCACCCAAGAGCGTTCCTTCTCAGGTAAGTTTCTCTTCAAATGAAGAGTCCTTTAAAAATGCATAATGATATGGTAAATTTGAGTAAGATTGTATCACCAACCTGAAAAATAAATTTGCAACGAAGTAACAAGGTGATGAAATTGCGAGATCAAATTCATAGTATTGTTTTTGTCCTATAAAAAGATTCAAAAGCAAAAAGAAAGGAAGACATTATTTTATAGCTTTTAGACAATTTAGTGAATAGGAGTGGCTATCACATATAATTTATGACACATCCACAGTTTGATATATTCACTATACCTAACTTAGACAATCTAGTTACGATTGATTTAAACAAGCTATTATTAATACAGTATTGTGTTAATTATTGGAAATTATTTCTGAGTAAAGAGTTAATAGATTAGCATTTTAAAAATACAACTCTGGTTTGGAAGAACACTGTATTATATAGTTAGTCTGGAAGACTAATATAGATGGGAAGAAGATGGCTTGAAATTATGCTTGTTACTGCAGTATGACTTTGAGAGTGAGCATAGTGTAGTAGCTAAAATGCTGGACTAGTAATGGCAGACCCAGCTTCTAGTTTTCCTTGGATCATTGACTGAGGGCTAGTTATTTCTTCTGATTTCTAATTATTGTTATATGCTGGTTGAAAAACAAAACCCTTCCTCAGATCATACATTGATAGCTTTGCTATATTAACTAGATAAAACATAATTTAAAACAAGCAGACCCTTCTACCAAGGAACAAATACTAAGAATAATAACTTTATCATGATTTAAAGGCAAAAATCATTTGACAGATTAATGTTAAATATAGGAAAAGAGGAAGATTCCTAAATTTCCAAATGGAGCTGCTTCTCCTGGAGAACCCCTTAACGAAGAAGGTCATCATGCTGGACCTGAATTACAGAGAACTGGAAGGTGTGTAGAATTTACTTCAGTTATAACAATATAAGTGTAAAATCTAAATTATTGTTGCTTTAAAAATTTATAAAATGCCATGGATTAAAATTTCTACATAAATATGCTTGATTCCTAGCTAATGGTCTATTTTAGTCTCTTAATACAGTAGAAGTATTCTTTAGTAGGCTCCAGGGACTATAGTGAAGTTTTAAAACAACGTCTGAAACCAGATTATGAAGATAAAAATAATTTGAAGTCAAAAATTGCTTGTACGAAGCTAGATATTCAAAATATTGCAGTAAAGAGCACTTATAGAGATTTCTCACATGTGAAAATTGTACAGATGTTGTGTAAGCTCCCAATCTTTGCAGTTACAACAGAAAAAAGAAAAAGGCTAATATCTTTATTAAGCTAAATTCTATTGAAATGTCTTCATATGGTTGCCTAAAATTTAAAGATGGGCTAAAATTTAATTAAATACCATTATTAAAGGAGAGATAACCCTGACAAATGGAAGATTTTAAATTTCAGTTTCTCTCAAAAGTTCTTCATCTTCCTCAGGATCAATATCTGTTTTGTTTTGTTTTTCATTCTCAAGTGTAAACATAAAAATAATGGGCATTGTAACTCAGCTTTTTAAAAAATTAAACTGTTTTTTTTTCAAAGAATACTTTATAATCACCAAATTAATTTTTTCAATATTTTATAAACAATGAAACAATGCTTACAAATACTTGCAGCTAGCTTCCTATATCTTTAAAAATATAGTTAATATTAAATACCAGGATTGTATATAAGTCGATTTTAAAATTACTCAAGGCATATATTACTATTCACCGCAACCAGCGTACATGCACAAAACTTGGTACTGAATGCAGAAGTTGATGACCTGAAAATGTTTTCATTTAAGACAAACCCCAGAGACTAACAATAGATACTTTAGCATTAAAATACATAAACCAGAATATCAGTTCACTCAACTGAGAATGTATAGATGAAATTGGAATGTTTGCATCTGTATTGTCAATAGGTTTGGAATATAAGGCTAATTTATGCTAAAAATCTGCACTATCAGTCTTGTGTGTCCCATAGTTTTAAACATTCTGGAGTCCTATAGAGTACAGTTTGATGAGTTTCATCTCACCTATTTAGGCTTTTTGGTGGTTTGATACTTGACATCAAAAGGAAAACATCTTTTTTCTTGAGTGACTTCAAGGATGCATTAAGTCTGCAGTGTCTGGCCTCGATTCTTTTCCTATACTGTGCCTGTATGTCTCCTGTAATCACTTTTGGAGGGCTCCTTGGAGAAGCTACAGAAGGCAGAATAGTGAGTACAAAGAATGGTAGTAGCCAGGATTTTAGCTTTTCAGAGGCAAGTGACTGTGTTCATTTGTCTCCTTTATTTCTACTTTTATTTGAAGACTTTTATCAACATCTTTTTGACTAGCCCTGCCCAATAATACATGTTTCTCAAATATGTGGAAAAAATGGAGAACAGGAGGAGATGCACAGTTAAGGTAAAAATTATCCTGCCTTGATGAATCTGTTTCATGGTCCGAGAAACAACTTTCATTGTGTATGTTTTTAAAAGGCCTTAACCTAATGGGAAAACAATGTTTGTTACATCTTCATAATATATTCAAGAATGCTAAGTCAGAGATCTTGTTTCTTTTGTGAAATAATAAAATAAAAATATGATTTTAAAATGTTTTGTAAATAAAAATTCAGCATTCTGACCTAAACTAAATGTCATGCACACATGCATGTAACAAAATTCAAATTATTCTTTTTGTTAGAGAAAAACTTTCAAAAAGAGATATGAGAATTATTTATCCTTTCTCTATCATGAATTTCCCTATCATATTTCATTTGGTGTGAAAACCATTTACCACTATCTTTCCTTCCCCACCTACCCAAGTCCAGGCTTGAATGTTTCTGGGGATATAGCAGTGGAGAAAAGATGGCAGAAAAATGATAAAACATCCTTTCCTACGGGTTCTCCACACAGAATAATTCTCTTAAATCTGATTTACTCTAAAGAAATAATTGGATTTGAATGCATGTATGTAACACCTAGTTTAGTTTTAAAATATTTGTTTTCTATTGCCAGAGGAAAAATATATTTCTGAGGAAAATTTGAATGTGAACTCTAACAAGTTTGGTCAACTATTATATTTTCATGATAATTTCAAGTGTATCAGCCATAATAACAGTTGGTTTATCCTAGCTCTCAAATTAATGAATTAACTGAATATATAAATTAATGGAATAACTGAATATAAGTTACTTGTGCTCAGCATTTTAGTTTGTAACTGGCACTTGTAACTACTTTTTGAAGATGTTATGGCATATAATATGCCAGTATAAATGTATTCTTCTATGCACAGGGTGGAAAAACCTATGGCTTTTGAGTCATATGTTGTCCTGAATTACATTTTTATCATCTCTAGAACATTCTCAGTTTGCTTTGATAAAATTTGGCAGCCATATAGCAGAACTTTGGCTATAGGACTTTTCACATTTGGGAGCGAAATAGAGGACCACTTAGTTATATCAACTTCCATACAGCTTAATTAATACATTTACTTAATGGATACGTTTCAAATTCGCAAAGAAGGTATAAAATTTGGCTTTGCTCATTACATTATTGTTATGCCCCCCCTGCAGTTTTTGGAATGGATAGCTTTTATAAATAAAAGAGCATACCCCCCTTCTACAAAATGGATACCTATCCCATTTTGGAATTTAAAATATACGTCCTTGTAGTCCTTAAACTTATTTTCGTATATATTGAAAAGTTAACTTTGCTGTCTAGGACAATATCAGTACTTTGAATTTTACTAAATTTGTTATATACCTGGACACCTTTAGATGTATATGTTATATTATCCTGGTTTCAAAAACTCACAAAAAAGTCTGCCTTCTACTTCCTAGTTTTCTATACTATAATATGATCTGGTTAATATGATAACCAATGTCTGTGACTATCATACATAGCTTACTTTCCATAGCTAAAATGATGATATTTAGCATAATTTGTTGCTAAATAGTAGTTTAACTGTATGTCATAAAGCTACTGACTTTTAAAATGTCCTTTCTTAATGTACATTTAAAAAACCTTATACTGTATTTTCTAGCTTTCTGGAGTTGTTTGCTGCCTTCAGTGGCTTGATGTGCATGAGTACATTAGTTCTTGCACTTTTGTGTTTAAACATAATAACCTAAGAAACATGTCTTGAGTACATGTGATTTTCTCGTATCTCCAAAGCTGTCATTTCTGCAGTATATTTGATCTGAATACCTAAGGTTAATTCACTGATAAGCCCAGACTAAATTGTGTGTACCTTTGAAGTATGATTGTAAATGCTAAGGGCTGCTTGTGCCCAACCCTAATCTAACCCCACTGACCTTTACATATCTGTGATTATTGATTATTTTAGTGTACACAGTATCAACTTGTATTATATTTGTCCAGAAAATGTCTTTGTTGATGTTAATACTATGCAGTGTATCAAAGTAATTAAATGGGAGGTTGTTTAGATATTTTAAATTACTTTTGGTATTTTAAAATACATAGAAATATAATTTTAAGTCCTCCCATTCCCTGCCTTATATAGAAAATAAAAGGGGAGATAGTTGCTGGGCATCTATGGAACACTGTAATTGAGAAAATGCATTACTGGATAGTATGATAACTACAGTATTTGATCTGTTTATTATTTCTACTGTCAATTTATTTCTTTTAAATATTGAATCATCATTGTTCTGTTGTATTCAGTCAGTTTTTCAGTTCTATGATTTGCATGTTTTAATACAAGCCTCATGCTCAGCTTGGTTAAAGGTTTGTTACAAACATGCTTTCTTTATACAGTAAAAGTTATCCTTGTTTTCCTACTTTAATTAGATTTGGTATGCTACAAGTATTATAATATCCTTTTTGTCATTTAATGTGCCAAAATGAATAACCTTTCCTTAGGTTTTTGTATAAATTTACACCTTAATTGGACTATTTCATATTGAACACTGTATTACTAATCTACAATGTAAAATAAAATGTATTTAGCTAATAATATTTGTAATATTCTAATTGTTGATGCTGTTAACTAATGTATGAAAATATACATTATTAAAGGTTTGAGTTTATCTTCAGTGAATCACATGATTCTTTTTCCCTCTCTCCAGAGTGCAATAGAGTCTTTATTTGGAGCATCATTAACTGGAGTTGCCTATTCACTTTTTTCTGGGCAACCTTTGACAATATTGGGCAGCACTGGACCAGTACTAGTATTTGAAAAGATATTGTTTAAATTTTGCAAGTAAGTACATTTTTCATTCTCAAAAATTTAACATTCTATTAGCTTCAGTTTCTCTAAGGCACACTTAAGTATAGTGTGTGAAATCTGTTTGAAATCTGTTTCAAACAGATTAAATATTTGCATGACTTAATTTAGCAAGAAATCAAAATTTTGTCCTTAGGGTTCCATCATTAAACACTTTTAGAGTGGTCACTATGGGCAAATAAGGCAAGCATTCTAGAACAAAACTAGTTCATCATTTCAAATATTAATTTTTGATTCACTAGGAGTGAATTTACAAATTGTCTTCTTGATTTCATCATTAGCAAATCTTCAAGGTACTTATCCCGATACAATATTTAAAAAAAAATAAATATGAAAAACAAATTAAACAAAGATAAATACTAAAAACCAAAGTGCATCAAATTGCAGATGAAATTACATTTGTTTTAAGACCAGGGGCCTACAGTGAGGGAAAAATTATTTGATCTCCTGCTGATTTTGTATGTTTCCCCACTGACAAAAAATGATCAGTCTATAATTTTAATGGTAGATTTATTTTAACAGTGAGAGACAGAATAACAACAACAAAAAATCCAGAAAACGCATTTCAAAAAAGTTATAAATTGATTTGCATTTTAATGAGTGAAATAAGTATTTGATCCCCTATCAATCAGCAAGATTTCTGGCTCCCAGGTGTCCTTTATACAAGTAATGAGCTGAGATTAGGAGCACTCTCTTAAAGGGAGTGCTCCTAATCTCAGCTCGTTACCTGTATAAAAACATCTGTCCACAGAAGCAATCAATCAGATTCCAAACTCTCCACCATCGCCAAGACCAAATAGCTGTGCAAGGATGTAAGGGACAAGATTGTAGACCTACAGAAGGCTGGAATGGGCTATGAGACTATTGCCAAGCAGCTTGGTGAGAAGATGACAACAGTTGGTGCGATAATTTGCAAATGGGAGAAACACAAAATAACTGTCAATCTCCCTCAGTTGGGGCTCCATGCAAGATCTCACCTCGTGGAGTTTCAATGATCATGAGAACGGTGAGGAATCAGCCCAGAACTACACAGGAGGATCTTGTCAATGATCTCAAGGCAGCTGGGACCATAGTCACCAAGAAAACAATTGGTAACACACTACGCTGTGAAGGACTGAAATCCTGCAGTGCCCGCAAGGCCCCCCTGCTCAAGAAAGCACATGTACAGGCCCATCTGAAGTGAATGATTCATAGTGAAAGTGTTGTAGTCAGATAAGACCAAAATCGAGCTCTTTGGCATCAACTCAACTCGCCATGTTTGGAGGAGAAGGGATGTGCTGCCTACGATCCCAAGAACACTATCCTCACCGTCAAATATGGAGATGGAAACATTATGCTTTGGGGTGCTTTTCTGCTAAGGGGACAGGACAACTTCACTGTATCAAAGGGACCATGGAGGGGGCCATGTACAACAAATCTTGGGTGAGAACCTCCTTCCCTCAGCCAGGGCATTGAAAACGGGTTGTGGATGGTATTCCAGCATGACAATAACCCAACACACATGGCCAAGGCAACAAAGGAGTGGCTAGAAGAAGCACATTAAGGTCCTGGAGTGGCCTAGCCAGTCTCCAGACCTTAATCCTATAGAAAATCTTTGGAGGGAACTGAAAGTTCAAACTGCCAAATGTCAGCTTAGAAACTTAATGACTTAGAGAGAATCTGCAAAGAGGAGTGAGACAAAATCCTTCCCGAGGTGTGTACAAACCTGATGGCCAACTACAAGAAACGTCTGACCTCTGTGACTGCCAACAAGGATTTTGCCACCAAGCACTAAGTGATGTAAAATACTTATTTTGCTCATTAAATTGCAAATCAATTTATAATTTTTTTGAAATGCATTTTTCTGTATTTTTTATTGTTATTCTGTCTCGCTGTTAAAATAAACCTACCATTTCTTTGTCAGTGGGCGAGTGTACAAAATCAGCAAGGGGTCAAATATTTTCCCCCTCACTGTATATCAGTGATGGTGAACCTTTTAGAGACCGAGTGCCGAAAAACTGCCCCAGTCACCCCCATTCTGCCACCCTGCCCACTCTGCCATCACCCTGCCCCTGCTCTGCCCCTGCCCATCTGTAGGGCAACTCACCACCTCCACGGCCCGCCGCAGCATATCGCCCAGGCGGCCCTGCAGCACCATAGCGGCCACGCCCTCCGCCTGCACCCTGCAGCATCACTTGTGTGCGACGGGGCACAAGGGCGGAGTCTTGTCCCTGCTGCCCGGTTGGCATGTCCTTGGCTGCACTGGTCCGCATAAGCCACGCCCAGAGGCAACTCTCCTCCGGGGGGGCTGGTGAGAAGGCTGTGGGGGGAGGTGGGGCTGGGGCTCTGAGTGCTGCTTCTGGCACGTGTGCTATAGGTTCGCCACCACTGCTTATACGGTGGGAGGAAGTGCATCAGGAAAATTAGCATAGTATCCATGAGTGCCCAAAAAACCCAATTTTTGCATATTATTTGCAATACATGTTAAAAAGGAAAGGATTTTTATCACACCATTGCAGTCATCTTGATTTGGTTTTTTGGCTTTTTTTTTCTTTCCCTATGGTTGCACTTAGAATCACAGTACCATAGGGTTGGAAGGAACCTTGGAGCTTTTCTAGACCAGCCCTCTGCTCAAGGCAGGAGACCTTGCTACTGTGTTTCCCCGAAAGTAAGATCTATCCTGAAAATAAGCCCTAGCTTGATTTGTTTTGGGAGGTAGGCCTAATATAAGGCCTACCCCCCCCAAATAAGCCCTAGTTTTGGGGCGAGGCACACACCTAAAAAATCATGCATGCCCCGAACCCACTTACCTTGCCAGCCCATTCTTCTGTGCCGTCTTCTGCAGCCAGGTCTGCATTTCTCAGTCACAGGCCTTTCCGGAAGGCCTCTGCAGCCAAGAACTGAGCTATGGATTCAATCCATAGCTCGGTTCTGCAAGAACTCTGCAACCAAGGACCGAGCTATGGATTGAACCCATAGCTCGGTAGTCAGCTGCATAGGCCTTCCGGAAAGGCCTGAATGCAAAATGTAGGCCAGAATGCAGCTGCAGAATGAAGCTGCTCCTTTGGCCCCAGAAGAAGTGGACCTGCTGGGCGGGGCTGTTGGATCCAGAGTTGAGTAAGACATCCCCCAAAATAAGACCTGGTGCTTCTTTTCAGGGAAATATCCTTGGCCAGGAAAGAGAGAGGAAAAACATGAAGCTGACTTGTGCCAGACTAACTCTGGACCTAATTTGATACCAAAGAATTAATAAAGAAGCTCTTAAAAAGAGTGCATAAATTAAGGGTGCATAAGCATTAAAAAAAGTTCTTATTGCCACACATTTTCAGAAGGTAGCAGTAATGCCTGAGACCAGCTTCTGCAACAGATCTGCTATTCCTGGTTTTAAAGCTTTACAATTTAAAATTTCCAATTATTTTATTTCAGTTGTTGAAATGTCATTAAAAATTTCAAAGATTAAAAAAAAACCCAAAACAACTAGTGGAGTTTACTCTATTGAAAGAGAATAAAAATCTGTATTTTGAAGTTTGTTACTGATCCATAGATAGGTTTATTTGCTTGGGAGGATTCAGTCCTCCTCAAACTCTACATAGTAGAGTGTGCATATATATCTATGTCAACATTAGTGTGTAATAGAATGCATTACAATAGTGAAAATTATTTTTATAAATCATTTTACTAATATATGATTCTATGTTGCCTTTTTCAACAGGGATTATGAACTTTCTTATCTTTCTTTACGAACCAGTATTGGTCTGTGGACATCATTTTTATGCATCTTGTTAGTAGCAACTGATGCAAGCAGCCTTGTGTGTTACATTACTCGATTTACTGAAGAGGCTTTTGCTGCCCTGATTTGCATAATATTTATATACGAAGCACTGGAAAAGCTCTTTCATTTGGGAGAAGTATATCCTTTCAATATGCACAATGACCTTGATAAGCTGACATTGTATTCGTACGTGTGATTTTTAAATAAAATATGTTCTTTTACTGTTTTCTTTGAACTTTCATACAAATTTTGAGAACCAGATTAAGCTGATAGTTCATCAAAGAAAGTAATACAATAGTTTAGATGCAGCACAATTATTCTCTTGTTCTATTATTTCTTTGATTATTATTGTTAATGCATATTCTAAATTATTTGTTTGGATATTCCTCATTCCACTCCTTTTCTTCATTTTTTTGCCTTTATTTCTAATATTGAAAAGGACCACGAGTGTTTATTTTTAGAGTGAATCATCAGCTCTTTATTATCATTAGCTCTTTATTAAAACAATTTGTTTTGAAATTGTACTGCATTTCCTGTTTTAGGTCATTTAGGTCATTTCATTATTTCATAGCAAATTTTCTTAGTTTCCATTATTCTGTTTTCAAAATAATGAGGATAAATGTTAAAATATATAAATATGAGACACTGATTCAAATGCTTAATTTTAAATTTGCTAGATGTGTATGTGCTGAGCCTCCAAATCCCAGTAATGAAACTTTAGAGCTGTGGAGGAACTATACTTCTCTGGATAACATACCATGGACCAACTTCACAGTTAAGGTGAATGTCTTGAAAGGTGATGTAAAATTTCATATTGCAGAGCTGATAAAAAAGAAATAATAAATTGCATTTGACATATGGCTTGGGGAAGGTATGAGACATTCAGCCTGTCCCAAGGCCTCCCCCATCCACCATCAGCACTTACCTGAGACTCCCTCTGCTAATCCATGATCATCAGTGAATGGTAACTGGCAATGCTGGTACTGCAGTCATAAAGTGATGAAGCCACATGCAATCTTATTTGATGATTGCATCATGTAACGACCGAAATTGCAGTCCTAATTTGTGATGCTAAGGTGAGGACCTTCTGTATCAGCTATCAAGTCAATGTCCACTGTTAACAATCACAAAGTTTTTCCCCAAGATGATCTGTCTCTAACTTGATCTTTAGGTCTTCCAATAATGCACTCATTGCTCCTGCAAGTGAATTCATGTACCTTGCTGTTGGTTGCCCTCTTGTTCTCTTTCCTTCTATCTTTTCCAGTTTTACAGGTTTTTGTACAGAACCAGAACTTTGTATAATATGTTCGAAGTAGGATAAGCTGAACTTCAATATTTGTTCCTTGAATGAAAATTCTGGGCTGATTTTATTCAATAGTACAATTGTTTTCTTTGCTCTCACAATATTCCCAGGATCTTTTTTCAACACCAAAGTTCAAAACATAAGTATTCTTTCTGTCCTACTTCATCAAAGCGCAACTTTTGCTTCCACAGAAGCAAAAGCATTCTATAGGGAATTCCATTGCTTGGATTGTTTTGATCTTTGCAGGTATAGACATGTCTCAGCACTTAGTTATCTTTTCCGAGGCCTTCATGGCTACTCTACCAAGTGCTCATCTGTGATATATTTCTTGTCTGCTTCTTTCCTTATTGTCAATAGTTGATCCTAAAAGACAGAAACTATCTAACTCTTTAATAAATTATCAGTTCTAAAACTGGTTGTTCTACTTGTTGTCATTAGTTTAGTTTCTTTTTCATATTTCATTTTAGTTTCATTTTTTCCAATTTATCTCTTGACTATTATTACTAGAGTTTGCAGATTCTTGCAACTGTCCTGCATGCAAAGGTGGTAGCTTCAGGATGAATTTCCCAAAATCTTTCCTTGCTTTACTTCCTCCCTCTCCCACAAACCTGCACTTTTTCAATAAAGAAAACAGATAAAAAGTTGGGAGTCTTCTTGATCTTTCTCTTTCTCTTCCCCAGACCCCATTTAGGTAGTGAAACTAAACTCTGCATTTCTATCCTTCTCTCTTGATCACCTTTAACTATTTAATTTGCCAAACTAATTACAATATATGCCTCTGGAAAGGAGGTGACAACATCTGTAAGTTATATAACAATAATAATAATAATAATAGTAGTACTAGTAGTAGTAGTAGTAGGAATAATAATAATAATAATAATAATAATAATAATAATAATAATAATAATAATAATAATAATAATAATAATAATAATAATAATAATAATAAGAAGTTGGAAGGGACCTTGGAGGTCAACTAGTCCAACCCAGTGTTGGGGCATTCACCGCTTCTGGAGGCAGGTTGTTCCACTGATTAATTGTTCTGACTGTCAGGAAGTTTCTCCTTAGTTCTAGGTTGCTTCTCTCCTTGATTAGTTTCCATCCGTTGCTTCTTGTCCTGCCTTCAGGCGCTTTGGGGAATAGCTTGACTCCCTCTTCTTTGTGGCAGTCCCTGAGATATTGGAACACTGCTATCATGTCCCCCCTCGTCCTTCTCTTCATTAAACTAGACATACCCAATTCCAGCAACCGTTCCTTATAGGTTTTAGCCTCCAGTCCCCTAATCATCTTTGTTGCTCTTCTCTGTACTCTTTCTAGAGTCTCAACATCTTTTTTATATCGTGGTGACCAAAACTGGATGCAGTATTCCAAGTGTGGCCTTACCAAGGCATTGTAAAGTGGTATTAATATTTCATGTGATCTTGATTCTATCCCTCTGTTAATGCAGCCTAGCACTGTGTTGGCTTTTTTGGCAGCTGCAGCACACTGCTGGCTCATATTTAAGTGATTGTCCACTAAGACAATTTACTTGATGAGTGACTGGCAAGCTGGAGTCTAGAGGAAAAGAGCTTTAATTTTAAATAAATGCGGAGGGAGTAAAGCAAGGGAAATGTTTTAGGAAACTCATCCTGAAGCTGCTGCCTTTGCATGTAGGACGCTGGCTTCCTCAAAGCCTAGTAAGAGCTAGGAGAGGCCTGCTGTCTCCCAACTGCCAGCTAATTGGGATCAAGGTTTAGCTCACAAGCATGGTTTCCTTTGTGAAATGGCACTGGTGAATGGACAACTAGTGGCTTGTTTGGAAGTCTCTTTGGCATTAAATATGGTGCTGGGCCCTAATCTAGTTACCCCCAACCCTACTGGGCTGTTTTTGGCTTTGCAAAGTTTTTTGCTGCTTGTATGCTTCCTTTTTTGGCCCAGCTAGGTGGGGGGCTTCCCAGTGACTCCTCCATTCCTGAGGAATCCCATGGTCTGCTTATCAACCCGCATGGTCATTTAACAGCAGCATTAAGGAGAGCTGAGTTTGGGGGTCATTAAGCAAAGCTGTTTCACTTAAGGACCCTTATTACTTCTAACCATAATAGAAGGCTCATTACAATCATAAGTCGAGGGTTACCTGTATAGATTTTTCATAGGGTGTTGAGATGTTTTGGGATTCCTATTTTTCTAAATACAATTTGATATGATCAACATGGGGAAAAGTTTTTCTATGATCAACGTAGTATATAATACTTTTGGTATTGATTAGCTTTCTAAGTTGTGCATTAGCAATACTGTCTCATATTCTTTGACCTTTTTAAAAGCCAGTGTGAACATCTGGAGTCTCTCTTTACATGTAGGGCTCTAGTCTGTCTTGAATCATCCCAAGAATGGGAAATTAAGGAAATTGTTTAATTTACACACCCTGCTAAGTCTCCTTTTTTGATATTGGAATATAGATTGACTTTTTTCAGTATGTGTTCTCCAGATTTGCTGGTATGGGTTGGTTAAAATCTTTATTGATTCTTCATCAGTTGTCAGTTATATTTCTGTAGTTATCCCATCAGGTCCTATAGCTTTCCAACTTGTAATAACCAAAGTGCTGGTCTACTTTCATTTTCTAGTACTAAAGGTAATAGGGAATATCTTGAAAGTAGGGAATATCTTCTAAGCCAGACATGTCAAACACAAGGCCCGGGGGCCGGATGCGGCCCGCGAAGCCATCCTGGAAAATGAGGGAACGGCCCCCGCTGCCTTGGCCCTGGCCCTGGCTGGCCAGGAGCCAATGTACAATTTTGTGGTGGCCATCTATGCTGAAATGCATTCAGTCTTAGCTCCACAAGGCCATCTGGAAACAGCGAGGAACCAGGCCCTGCCGCGTCATCCCCGCCCCCTGGGTGCATGCTGGGGAGATGTCACCCTTTGTGAGGAATGAAGAAATGTACCATCGCCTGGAAGTGGCCTGCAAAGGGCCTTCGCCTACTTCACATATCTGGCTTGATGGGCTCCGGGGGAGGAATTACAGTAGGCAGCGAGGCGCTCTCCTCACAGCGCTGAGAGGCTGAGCTGAGTGGCACAAATCCAAAAAGAAGCATGACAACGCCCAGCCCCCAGTCTGCCCGGTTTTGCTCTCCTCACAGCGCCAAGAGCTGAGCTAGGTGGCGTGAAACTGATGAGAAGTGCAATGCTGCCTAGCCCCCAGCCTGCCCAGTTTCAGCAGGCAGCAAGGTGAAAAGCTGGCAAGCTTCGCGCCGCCTGGCTCAACCCCTTGGCGCTGTGAGGAGAGTGCCCGCTGCCTGCCGAAACTGGACAGGCTGGGGGCTGGGCATCATCGTGCTTCTTTTCAGATTCATGCCGCCTGGCTCAGCCTCTCAGCGCTGTGAGGAGAGTGCCCCGCTGCTTGCTGAAACCAGGCAGGCTGGGGGCTGGGCAGCATTGCGCAGGTAACGTTGACTCTCACACTGCTCATGGCATCCCCTCCCCCAGAGCCCACCAAGCCAGATATGTGAAGTAGGTGAGGGCCATGTGCTGGCCACTTCCAGGCGATGGTGCATTTCTTCATTCCTTACAAAGGGTGATATCTCCCCAGCTGCGTTTCTTGCCTGTTGTTCTCCCTCACTCATCTCAAATATTTTCCCACCACTCTGTACTTAGGAAGGAAGAAAGGAAAGAAGGAAAGAAGGAGAGGGAGGGTCTGAGGGAAGTCCTGCCTTAGTCCTGCCCTGCTGCCCTTTTACCATCCCCTTGCCCCCTCATCCTGGCCTATCCTGGGTGTCTCCCATCCTATTGCTAAGGAAGCTTTGGATATAGAGCCGTGTCTCCTCCCATGGAGAGGGAATGGGCCTCCCTCTGACTTTACCCTCATACCCATCTTGAGCAACCTGGCTAAGGACAGCAAGCACAGTAGCAGCAGCCTTGAGGATGAGGTAAGTCACCTGGGTGCCCCCTTGGGGAAGTGGGGCTGGGCTTGGTGCCGTGGGTGCTCGAGGGCCAGGCTGGGCATTTGATCTCTGCTGCCCAGGGCTCTGGGCAGCCTGCACCACCATTCAGCCCCCCGCATGGCCTGAGAGGAACGGTGAGGCTCCTCCAGTGGACCATGCCTTGGCACTTGCCCTGGTCCCACCCCCTTCTGCCAGAGACCCTCAGATCTGTCCCACTCCTTCCCAGGCCCCCACAGGCACCCTTGACGCAAACGATGTAGAGTTTTTTCAAGTTTCTTCCTGAAATTTTTGTCTTTCTTGGCTTTGGCTTCTTTTATCTTCTTGGCAGTTTTCATTGTTTGTTCTCACATCCAGTTTTTTCTTTTTTCTTAATCTTTGGCAATTTCTTTTCACATTCAAAATTTCTTTAAGTTCATTTCAATTTTTTCTGGTGCTTCATCAGTGAGGTTTAGGACTTCAAAGTGATCCCTGATACTCTCCTTGAAAATGATGGGTATATGTTTAAGATTATATTATGGAAACTGGTTGGTTTCTTCTTTAGGCTTAAGTTCATGATCAGTTTATAATCTCTTCCACAGTCTGCACTGCCATGTTTTTGCTGCTATAATAGAGCTCTGTATAAGAAAAATATATTTAATCAAATTTCAATGGACTCCATATGGTGATGTCCATGTATAAAGGCAACATTTTGGTTGTTGTTACCTATGAAGAAATTATTGGTGTGACAGAAATTAGAAAGTCAGTCTTCTGCTTCATTTCAGTTCCCTAAAGTTTAAACCATGCAACCCAACTATATTTTCCTCTTTAATATTTCTAACTTTGGCCTTCCAGCTTTCAGTCTTGCTTGACATGTTTTGTCAATTTCAAACTGAACTTAATCATAAAATCTCCTCTTTTTTTTTGTTTTGTCTCTGTTTTTTTCTTTTTTTCCCCTTTCTGATTTGAATTAATATTTTCTTTTCTTATTAGTATTGATAGTCATTTGTAATGGAAGAGGAATAAGAAAAAGGAAGAAATGATATTAATAAATGCTTATTGAATATGTTAAGGAAAAAAGTTATGGGGAGACCCCCGAAGTGTTAACTAGGTATTTAGATTAGAAATATGGAACACAGTAAGTGAAATAGTTAACACAGGATTTGGATTTGTAGATATATTTAGACGAAAGATTATTGAGGATTGCTATGACTGATTTAGTTGTATTGTAATATATCAATTTGAATATAATTTGAGGGAAAAGAGAGGAGGTTTTTAATGACTTGATTTGAACTTTATGAATATGACTTTGTTTTGTGGACAATTGATTGCCCTGCCACCACGTTGTTTCTTAAGCACTTGTTTGTAAAATGAAAAAACCAATAAAACTTGTTTTTTTTAAAAAATAAAATAATATCTCCTCTTCTATATCAGTGTTTGGAGCATAAATAGTATAGTTATCATTTAAGTGGTCATCCTTAAAGTCTAATTAATAATATTGTCACAGATTGCATTGTAGCCAAGTATTGTTCTTGTTAAACCCTTCTTAACTATAAAAGCTTTCTTCTTTGTTTTTAATGTTCTGAGTAATAAACTGTGATTTCCTAACTGAAAGTGTCCATCTCATTTTACTAATCCGTAAAATGTCAATTTTCATACATAGGATAAACTATGCTAAACATGGGAAGAAATTTGTTTATTTTATGTTGCTTTTAGGCTTTTCTAGTTAGAACTAATTATTAAACTGGTATGTATTTTTGCATATTAAATCATTAAACTGTTTTTTAAATTAACAAGTAAATGTAGTTTGGTCTATATTCAAGCAACTGTGAGTTTTTAATTTCATTTGTGGTGAAATTATAATAGACATAAATTTAACTTCAGATGTGAATATTCTTAATGCAATTTCTGATTTGTGTTTGTATTTACAGGAATGCAACAATCTTCATGGCATATTTGTTGGATCAGCTTGTGGACATCATGGTCCATATTTCCCAGATGTTCTTTTTTGGTCTGTCATATTATTCTTTACAACATTTTTCCTCTCTTCTTTTCTCAAGCAGTTTAAGACCAAACGTTATTTTCCCACTAAGGTAATTGTGATAGCTTTTATACATTTACATTATTTTTACAGTAAGTATTTTGTTGAAGATAATTTGATTTGTAATATTAAAGGCAAAGAATGAATTATTTTGCATATTTCCAATATTCCTGCTGCACCCTTAGTTATATTGATACCCAAAGGATCTTGAAACGGATTTGCATATCTAGACTATTGCAGCATGGCTATTTCTTTGCTGCTATTTCATTTTCAGTCCTGTGACCACAATGTTCTACAATACTTAAGTATTAATTAATAAACCTAGTAAAATATCAATAATATTAATAATTAATGTAATATGAATTAATTATTACTAAGTAATACTTAATACAAAGAATTAACAAAATATCCTAAACACTATGGAAAAAATTGAATCCCTTTCTAAAGTCAGAGACTTGAGAAAACAAGCTTTAGCACTAGTATCCCTCTAATTTCTGAGACCAATTTTCTTAAATGTTAATGAAGTCTGGCATGAGCAAAGGTTAAGAGAAGAAGTATTGGAGTGGTAAGCTAGATTCGTTGAAGGCCTTGGCTAATGCATATTCCCATATTGGTTCAAATTGAAAATAATCCTAAAAATGATACAGATGTTTCTGTCTTATTGCAAAACAGATCTTTTTGTTGACAAAGGAAAGAAATCATTTCTGAAATCAGGGAGTGAGGAATTTTTTTTTTCCTGTTTCTTGTTCCATTTTGGTTTGCTTCTTCACTGTCTTGCTTTTTTCTGTTTTTTTGTATAATAATAATAACACCTGTATGATGATGTGTTCAATCATAATAACAAAAAGCAAAGATAGTACCAATAGTAATAAGTGCCTGAGTGTAATCCTAACATTTGTGTACCACTTGAACACCATCAACATTGGCAAAAACACTCTTAGTCAATTGCAAAAAGTAGCTTTACTTGTGAATGTGGTTACATATTTTGTGTATAACCTGTCAGAAATTTTATAACATGGATGATCTACATTAGAGAGCTTTTAGTGAAGCTTTGAGATGAATATTTGTGCTATAAAATTAGCATATTTCACAAAAACAGATTTGATAATGAAAATGCCTTCTTTACAAATTAGATGAAGTTAAGGCTTAAACAGTTGAAAATATAGTTTTAGATTGTTACCTGATTCAGTATCATTTTCTATAGCATTTGTTGTGGTTTGAATGATACATAAAATTTGAAACTTAGCACAGGTTTTAGCTTAAACAAATGCACAATTAGCAACCCATGTTATGCTTCTGTGAGAAAATAACTTATTAGAACTGAACATGAACAATTGTAATCAAAGTTCTTCAAAGATTAATACATATGAAATACATCGCTAGTACTTTTTAATATTAAAGTGAAAAATTAAATTGATCATAATTAACCTGATTAAAGTTTGAGAAATGAATGATGAATTGAAACAGTGCTAAATTACATTTAATTAGGCAGAAAAATAGCTGATGACAACGAGTATAGAATCTTACTACCTGCTTCCAAATTTTAAATACTAGTTAAAACCCCATTACTTCATCTGTATTGAATATTTTCATTATGTATTGTAAAATAAGAAGAAATATTTTAATTGTTGACATAGATTTTTTAAATTAGTTAAATAATTTTTTTTGCAAGATTTTGCTTTAATATTTATATTAGATTTATTGAATATTAGAATAATAAGAATATTATTAGATAATATTCATAAATATTAGATTTATTCATGAAGAATTTTTTTTATTAACAGATGACTGCTATATCAAAATTAAGACGTTAGAGCATATTACAGAATCTGAATAATTACAAATGTTATTGTCCTTTAGAACTATTTCATTGCAGGTAAGTATTTGAAGTGCCAAAGTGCTTTTATGCTATGTCTTCTTTCTTTTTTTAGGTACGTTCTACAATAAGTGATTTTGCTATATTTTTGACAATAGTGATTATGGTTTGCATCGATTATCTTGTTGGAGTTCCTTCTCCTAAACTAAATGTGCCTGAAAATTTTGAAGTAAGCAAATGCTTTCTAGTTTTTTCTTAATAAACTCTGAAATACTATCCATTAAATCAGGGGAAATTATTTTATTTAAAGAAAATAGCTGTTGATGTGATAGGCTGCTGAAGCAAGACTATTTATTAGCTTTGTAGATGCTTGATAGAGTAACATCCAATGAGAAATTATACTAGTGAAATTCATATATTTGATTGCATATTTCATGATTTTGACTCAAGCAGCTTTCTGCTTCTGCAGATGCTTTCTGCAGCAACGTGAAGACCATATTATAGCAACAAAATGCAGCAATTTGTTCCTGGGCTGGGTGGTGGCCTAACAAAAGCACCTGCCATTTTGGCATGCCAATGTGGGGACTGTGCTAAACAAAACAGGCCAGCTTGTCCCTATCCCACATGGTGATTATCTGAAAGTGGCCACTTCCACGAGGCTGCCATGTAACTCAGGGACATGTGGCCTGTCCTCTTTTCCAACATGCAGTCTGGAGAACTTTTAAAAGATAAGTGACAAGGAAGGTATGGAACCTAGTCGGGTGGAAATCAGGTCTTTGGGACCTGAAAGAAGGTGAAAAGATCTATGGGGGGACCCAGGAAGCAGAGCACAGGGTATCTTGCACTAGGCCTTTAATGACCTTATCCACCTCTGAAGTATCCCATGCTTTGCTTAACAACTGCATGTTTGTTTAACAGTCACATAAAGGGAAAGTAGGGTTGTTAAGTGTTAATCTTGCTTAACAGCTGACACCACTTGCAACCATAATGGGAAGACTCTATTACTGTCATATCTCAAAGGTTATATAACTATATTTTTATTTATTTAAAAGCATCTGTTTTTAAATGCTTCTTGGTATATATGTTTGATTCCTGACAGCGATAGCCTATAATTAAAATTTGTTAAATAGCTTGCTTATTTGGCGGTTCAGCTTTAATAATGGCATAATAGTGTTAAAAAAGTAAAGGTTGGAAACCACTAAAGTACAATAATGCTTTGTGATCATGACAAATTAACAAATTTCAAATATTTATATCTTAAAGTAATGTTGTAAATTTTTGTATTGTATTAATTGCATTATATATGAAATGTACCTTTTTTCAAAATTTAATCTAAACATCATCTAAAATTGCTTTTATTATCATCTGTATCCAGGTATTTATAGTGAGTGTTTCTCTATAAATAATGAAAAATATCTGTTCCTTTTGATAATTTTATATTTATGTTTTATTTTAGCCTACACAGAGTGGTCGTGGATGGCTTATCAATCCTCTAGGGAATAATCCTTGGTGGACCCTAGTAGTAGCTGCAGTTCCTGCTTTACTCTGTACCATCCTTATTTTTATGGATCAACAAATTACAGCTGTTATCATAAACAGAAAAGAGCATAAACTCAAGGTGAATATTTGTTTTCTTTGTTCATTTACCAATGCAACAGTTAACTTAAATTAGAAATAATTACAGTACTGTAGTAATTTCCTACATATAGGAAACATCTAATTCAAAATCTTGTATTCAGCTAAATCATGGGTGTCACACTCGCGATGTCACGTGACATGACATGACGTATCGTGACTTTTTTCCCATTGCCGGAAATGGGGTGGGCGCGGTTTTGGTGTGATTCATCCGGCCCATGGGCTTGCAGTTTGACACCCCTGAGCTAAATTAAAGACTTTAATAGTTTGTAGCAGACTTAATTTATTTATAACTGGGATCATTTATTCTTGGGAAAGTTTCATTTGAAACAAATTTGACTTTGGTGATTGCATGGACATGTATCTTTTCTTGGCATTTGTTTATTATTGCCTTTTCCAATATATTTTTAACTTCCCAAGCTAGTGTACAGCTGAGTAATTTTCTCTTAACATCACATTGATAACTACATCCAACCCTTCATATCTTGTTGAAATCAACCAAGGATTGTAAGGACCATTTTAAGTAAAACTGTTTAAAAACAGTTTTCTATTGTATTTAAAAACTGGTGGATCACAACAAATTGTGGAAGTTCTTAAAGAGATGGGAGTACCAGACCATCTTATTTGTCTCTTTAGAAACCTATATGCTGGTCAAGAAGCAACAGTGAGAACTGGATACGGAGCCACTGATTGGTTCAAAATTGGGAAAGGAGTCCGGCAAGGCTGTATTCTGTCGCCCTGCCTATTTAACTTATATGCAGAGCACATCATGAGAAAGCCAGGGCTAGATGAATCAAAAATTGGAATTAAGATTGCCGGGAGAAATATCAACAACCTAAGATATGCAGATGATATCACTCTAATGGCAGAAAGTGAAGAGGAATTAAAGAGCCTCTTGATTTCTTCCTGGGCTCCAAGATCACCACAGATAGGGACTGCAGCCAAGAAATTAAAAGACACTTGCTCCTGCAGAGGAAAGCTATGGCAAATCTAGACAGCATACTAAAAAGCAGAGACATTACCCTGCCAACAAAAGTACGTATAGTCAAAGCCATGGTTTTCCCAGTTGCAATGTATGGCTGTGAAAGTTGGACCATAAGAAAGGCTGAGCGCCAAAGAATTGAGGCCTTTGAACTATGGTGCTGGAGAAGACTCCTGCGAGTGCTCTGGACTGCAAGGTGATCAAACCGGTCAGTCCTAGAGGAGATCAACCCTGACTGCTCTTTAGAAGGCCAGATCCTGAAGTTGAAACTCAAATACTTTGGCCACCTAATGAGAAGGAAGGACTCACTGGAGAAGAGCCTAATGCTGGGAAAGATTGAGGGCAATAGAAGAAGGGCACGACAGAGAATGAGGTGGCTGGATGGAGTCACTGAAGCAGTAAGCGTGAGCTTAAATAGACTCCAGAAGATGGTAGAGAACAAGAAGGCCTGGAGGAACATTGTTCATGGGGTCGCGATGGGTCGGACACGACTTTGCAACTAACAACAAAGGAATTTTACTGGAAGATATGGTAAATGAAATATTGATGTTCTAAGATTGTATGGAAGGACAACAGAATTAAAAGCCAAAACTTTTAGGCAGAAACTTGGAAATGACCAGTCCTAGCATAAATACACACGTATATACACACACGTAGCCTTTCAAAGGGCTGTTGTTTTAACATTTTGAGGAACAATGTTTTATTTATGTTTTGCTGTGCAAATGATTTGCACAGCCTTATGTTGAACTGATTCGTGATGTAAATGTAAAATTGTTGGGTGATTCAGTTAGTTGTGCCTATCCATATTTGTAGGTGGATTACTGCCTTTTGACAGATAGGAACAAGCAACAAGTGAAGCTAGGGAAAATCTCATCAAGCATCTGGACAATTAGCGCAGGTGCCCTTTAGGGCTGTGTATTCTCTCCATTGTTCTTCTCTCTATTTACCAATGACGGCATCTCTAAGGATCCTTCTGTCAAAGTACTGAAGTTTGCAGATGAGAACTACAGTCATTGGTCACATTCGAGATGATGATGAATCTGCATATAGACGGGAGATTGAACAACTGGCCCCGAGGTGCAGTTGGAACAATCTGGAGCTGAACATGCTTAAAACTGTAGAGATGAGAGTAGATTTTAGAAGGAACTCACATATTCTGCCATCTCTTACTATATTCAACAGCATGGTATCAGCAGTAGAATCCTTCAAATTTGGGGGTTCTATAATCTCCCAGGATTTGAAATGGACACCTAATCATTGTTAAAAAGGCAGAACAAAAAATGTCCTTCCTGCATCAGCTTAGGAAGTTCAGTTTGCCCCAGGAACTAGTGATACAGTTCTACAGAGGTATTATTTGAGTCAGTCATTCATACTTCTATTACTGTCTTATTTGATACAGCAGCTAAAAAAGAAGGTACAGACTCCAATGGATAGTTAGAACTGCAGAAAAAACAATAGTAACCAACATGCCTTCCTTAGAAGACCTGTACATTGCGCGGGTCGAAAGGAGGATTGAGAAAATATGTACAGATTCCTCATATCCTGGACAAAAACTGTTTCAACTCCTCCCTTCGGATCATCGGTGTAGGGCATTATGTGTCAATCAACTAGACACAGGGATAGTTTTTTCCCTTTTGTCATCATTCTGCTGAACACCTAATCCTCACAGTACTGTCTTACTGTATGTCTAAGTATATTTACCCATGTTGTATGGCTGTAGTATTATTATCCTTCTCATCTTCTCCACTAGGCTCTCTTATTGATATCATTATTATGATTATTATTACTCTGTTGGTTAGCATGTACACTGAGAGCCTCTGCACCTGAGACAAATTCCTTGTGCGTTTAATCACACTTTATTAAAAAAAGTATTGTATGGTATAGTATATTATATAATATAATTTATTATATTAAACTTTTAAACAAACATTCTAAATATTTTGTGAACATTACTTACTATGATTTTAGCATGAAACATTTGTGTTTGATTCCACAGAAAGGTTGTGGTTATCATCTTGATCTGCTCATGGTTGGCATTATGTTAGGTATCTGCTCTATTATGGGTTTGCCTTGGTTTGTGGCTGCAACTGTCCTTTCAATAAGCCATGTCAACAGTTTAAAAGTGGAATCTGAGTGCTCAGCTCCAGGAGAACAACCAAAGTTCCTGGGAATCCGTGAACAAAGAGTGACAGGATTAATGATTTTTGTTCTGATGGGGCTATCAGTATTTATGACCTCTATATTAAAGGTAAGCAGCAGAAAAAAATAATTTTATTACAAACTTAGTGTATTAAAAAAAGTTGTTTTCCCTTCCCTTCCCTCCTCTTCACTATATTTTTCAGTCTTTCATAATCTACAGTCAAATTAGTCATACTTTTATATTCATCTCTGTCATAGGTGAATAGTAATGCCTTATATCTGAACCAGGTTTTTTTTCCTAACCAGATACTTGCCAATCATTTATGTTCTAATGACAGGCAGTCTCCTTTTTCAAAAATACATTGGAAAATTCATCTTGTTAAATCTGTGTATTTTTATTTTTATTTTTTGTTATGAGATGGTCCAATCTTTGCAAAAAATTGCTTAATGCTTTTATATTCATTAATATGTTGATTTTTAAAGTTTAATTTGCTGGTTTTTTTTCCAGTTTATTCCAATGCCAGTTTTATATGGTGTTTTTCTTTATATGGGAGCATCCTCATTAAAAGGCATTCAGGCAAGTTTTATTTTTAATCATGTTGCATCTGTAGAAAAAAATAACATAGATGTTATGCAGTATTTGGTTTTCCCGTCTCACTCTGCCCCTCATACATGATGCCTTTTGAGTGTCTTCAAGATGCTCTTGAAAATATAAAGGTCAGGAGATCACATAGCTGAGCTCTAAAGCAGGGGTCCCCAACTCCCGGTCTGTGGACCAGTACGGGGCCACAACATGTCAAGCACAAACAAGCAAAACCCCATCTGTGGGATGCAGACAGCACACAAAACCACGCACTCGCCAGTCCACAGAAAAACCTCTATCCATGGAACTGGTGCCTGTGCCCAAAAGTTTGGGGACCTCTGCTCTAAAGAACATAAGATGGGCTTATACAAGGTGTATTTCTGAATTTCCCATTGCAGTAACAGCCAATTTGAAGGTATTGTCCTAAAACCAGAAAACTAAGTTCTAGGCCTCACTTAGGCACGAAAGCCAGTTGAGTGACTTTGGGCCAGTCGCATTCTCATAGCCCAATCCAACTCACAGGGTTGCTGTTATAAGAAAAATAGGAAACAGGAGTATGAGGTATCTTCATCACTTTAAGAGAGATAGCTAGACAGACAGACAGACAGACAGACAGAACTATTATTAATAGTTATATAGTGTAAGAGTATGTACACAAGTACATGTTGCATATGCGCATACATACTTTTATTCCCAAATCCTGTGTCTTAGCAGTAGTATGTATTAAATTCACAGAGGTCATTGGGAGGGAAGAATTCTCCATTCTGATTATGTTATTTGCCTTGTTCTTCTTAAAACTATGCTAGCTTTGCTGAAAGAGCTCACCTTCTTGAATTTTTACAAATATATCCTATTTTCATAATATTGCAAATAGATAGGAATCCCCAGAAATTCTAAAAGTTTTTAGTAGCTAGTGTAACTCTTTATTACAGATTTAATAAGATTATTATTTTTACTACTCAAAGAGTATCATGTCTAATTTGTAATCAATTTATTTTTATAATTTTGTTTTCTAAAATTGTTTTTAGATATATGTTTAATAATTTTTCTTTTCATTACAGTTTTTTGATCGTATTAAACTGTTCGGTATGCCTGCCAAACATCAACCTGATTTGATTTATCTCCGTTATGTGCCATTGTGGAAAGTACATGTATTTACAGTAGTTCAGCTTACGTGTCTTATTCTTTTGTGGGCAATTAAAGCATCAGCTGCTGCTGTTGTTTTTCCTATGATGGTAAGCAAATATTTCAGTATATCTGCAACTTTATGCATCATTTATAAATGTCTAAATATGAAATTCAATGATAATATTAAATCTATGCAATTAATGCTGTGTACCTTAATTATATTAATTATATATTTATATTAGTATTTAGATTTGCTAATAATTTATATTTAAAACTGTTTTAAAGGTTTTAGCTTTAGTTTTTGTTCGCAAACTTATGGATTTGTGTTTCACCAAACGGGAGCTCAGTTGGCTTGATGACCTTATGCCAGAAAGTAAGAAGAAAAAGGAAGATGACAAAAAGAAAAAGGCAAAGGAAGTAAGTGAAATAGTATTCATTATTGAGGCAAAAGCCCCCATAGAAGCAGTGTTTGATGGGGAAATGGAAAACATTTTCCATATTTGATTCAAGTTATCAGTGAAACAAATGGAAATTAGTTTTTAATTCCTCTAAATATAGCAGTTCATTAAAGCTCTATAAAAGTATGCAAAATGAGATGTGATCGATAGGAATATGACAGCACAGAATATACAGAATATACACTAAACATAGATATTGTATAAGTGTCAAATGTAAATGCTCTTTTCCAAATATTAGGAAGGCTTTTCAAAGATTAAAATACAAGAAATATTTATAGATGGTTAATTGCTTTCAGGATTATCTTACAAGCCATAGTAAATTACTTTAGAAAATACATGTTGTATTCAGGATATAAACAAATGTAACCCAATAGCAACTGTAGATATATTTGGAATGAAATATACTAAAATTTCTCTATGGCTAATATTGTAAATGTAAACTAGAAAAAAAGTTAATGGTATGTAGTACATCGTTTTATGGGTAAGATCACTGTTATGTTTGTTGGCATACTTTTTAATGTGTTTGTATAATTAAAACAAGTGTCAAAAGAAAAATTCAGTAGATTTGAAATAATGCAATACCTAGACAACTTGTATTATTGTATCTTCCATTATGAGGGATTTACATTTATAAATACTTTATCATATAACAAAGTAACCTACCAATAGACAGTATTGTTCCAGTAATTGTATTGTAAATGTTTGAAAATGGCCTGATTTCAAAATGGGCCCATTCCATGTGACCCAGAACATTTCAGAATAGGGCCATTTCAAGGTCAGACTATTTCCTAATTAGTTAAATAGTTTAATCTGTACTCAGAATGACCCGTTTCTGAGTTAAAATGTTCCATAATGAAAAATTCTTCATGTCTGGTTTTTGGCAAATATTCAAAAAAAATATTCTTTTTTTGGTGGTTATTATGGGCCTGAATTTGAATGCCACAATACAATGGCTTACACAGGAAGGAGTTTTCATAAGAGGAGAATAGAGTATAATTTTCTGGTCTGAATTCTTCACAACCCTTCATCCTTTATTTCTCAAATAAATAATAATAATAATAATAATAATAATAATAATAGTAAAGTTGGAAGGGACCTTGAAGGTCATCTAGTCCAACCCCCTGCTCAGGCAGGAAACCCTATACCATTTCGGACAAATGGCTGTCCAGTCTCTTCTTAAAAACTTCCAGTGTTGGAGCATTCACCGCTTCTGGAGGCAGGTTGTTCCACTGGTTAATTGTTC